TTCAAACCAACATGTTAAACCAAAAGAGCTTTCCGCTGATCTTCAGAGCAGACATATTACAACCAGCCAAAATTCGCTGACACTCAAGCACATCCCAGCCTACTTTCACCAAAAGAATCCATACCTTATCGCATAGACTGCCCACCAGTCCCCCCCAGCTGGATAGGAGATTCATCTCGATTGTCGTGCGAGGCAGGGAGCGGCTCTAAAGGATACTTTTCTATCAAATGTGCGATCTAGGTCTCGTTAGCTTTGTCATTAATTGTTGACACTAATAGCTTCTGAAACGACCAATATACTAAGAAAGCGAGATTAATCTACATTTACAAGAAAGACGTATCCACAAACCACGGTATGGCGCCAGAATGGTGGGAGAACCGCGGGCCAAGCGGTATTTGCAGTGTTATAATGTCCCGGATGGTTGGTTGCAGCCCGTCGAGTATACTGCATATGATTGAGATCAAGGAGAGAATTGAACCAGAGAACAGGTAAGTGGCTATGCCTGTAGTGAGTCACCGTCCCATGTAGACAAACGGCATTGATCCCCAATTGGTTGTGTCGAACTGAGCGAAGGACGAGCCTTTGTTAGTCTCCAGGGCGCTCTGGCACGACAGTACTACCACTTACCCGGCATCTTGTGTGCTCCGCCTCCGCGATCAGAAGAAAAGATGTCATAATATGTGTTAACAGCTTTTCTTAAGATATTGAATGACTGGTAGGGTCTCCAGGTGCTGAGTGAAATTCGACTAGGTCGTCAGATAGGGATCCCAGCGCTAGGACGCCATTCGTGAGAGCCACATAGTATACGCTCGTAGGGTAAAATAGTCACGATAGCTTAGTATCACGGCTATCATCAAGGTTGTAAAGGCGCAGTCTATGGAAATCTCCGTGTATCGACATATGGAGGTAGGACTGGCCCGGGGGCCGCGAAGAGCCTATATGGAATGACTGCTGTGGCAGAAGCCAATAAGTAGCCAATAAACCGGTGTCGAGACAGCATATTGCTCGAGATACAGAACATTAGAGAATAAACAGTAACGGCGAAGATGAAGGCATGGAGTGAAAAGATCTTTTCGGATCATTGTGCGGAATGTCATGTTGACATGAGGCAAACCCTAATCTAGTTTGTTGGTAAACCCATGCGGCAGCTTGCCATAATGCGTATATATAGAAACTTTAAGAAATGAGTATATCTCTATGCTCATTCTTCTTTGTGAGTATACCTATTTATTTAAATAGGAGAGTAGGATCAGATATGAGTGATTATAGCCATCGCGTGTAACTGGTCGTCCACATGCAGAGTGAGACACCTGCTTAACCATGGCACATGAATCTCAACAACTGAATAAACAAGTTAGTCAAACTCTTTGTCACAGACTGACAGCGATTCTTAAGGAGTTTCACCTCGATGTGCCCATTGAGGGTAGCACGTGTACGGGGAGGCATCGTGGTCTACCCTATAACAATACGGTCAGCACCGTCGAGGAACTAGCAACAACACCAGAGAAACATACAACTGCGGTGGTATCCTTCATACCTCTGTCATTGTGACATCAGACTGCGTGCTACCCAATCTATGTATAAATGAATATCACAAAGATGATGGATGAGCCAGGGGATTCTCAGACAACCTCAGGCTGTCACGACCCGTCGTCACACAACAGCCGATCGAGGACCGACCAACACGCGGGATATATACTGCAACAACCACGCCGGCTCAGTGCGATGGGTACTGGTTTGCTGTCCGAAGAAAGCCCCCATCAAGAAAAGCTTTCCGTTCGCCACTGTCCGGATGGGGCGCTTGCTCTGGAGTGGCTTTCTTGGGATGGGTTCTCTGACTCGCGTTATCTCTCTCGCGAAATCAAGGTCTTTAACAGTTCCAGAATAGGTCTGCGTCCATCCTAGAAGATAACGATGCGGGCCTTTGAATCAGATTTCATTCCCATGACGGTAGGACGGATCCGCGCCGTCCTTACCCGAACCCGCCGTCACAGTATCATGCTCGATGATAGTCCTGCTGGTTTTTCTGCACGTAGGATCGTCTCTAAGATTCAACGAATCGGGGGGAAATAAATGGAACGGGGGCTGCAGTGACAGCCACCGAAACATCATCTATTTTTTCATTTGGCTCGGCACGCTCACATCGCAGGATCTCCCACATACCTTTCGGGAGTTTAAGAGGGGGCGCGTAGGGAGGGACGCAAAGTCAGATATATTAGAAATTCGGGGTTATAGAAAATTGCTCAGATGTTGTGATAAAGAGAGTAAGAAGCCAGAAAAGTCCCCCCAAATGAGTGGGCTTATTCTATGTATTGATATGCCATGGTGCACCGTGACTTCTGTTTCAAAAATATATGTATTATGGGGACAAGATAGAAAGGTGCCCCTCTTGCAGTCCTGGCAAGATAGTATGATAAGCATTCTCAAAATCCTCAAAACTTCAATGAACAACCAATATATTATTGATTCCATCGATTGATTCCGTTATAATTAGCTCATCTAGTCCGGGCAGGTTTATGCATGTAGAAGGGCGATATGGATTGTGTTTATGTCTGTCATTTCAAGTCGCATAGCGAGTGGGGAAACAAGATAATGTAGCACTTGAAGTTCATATATATAAGTAGTATACCATATAAGTGCGCAAGTACTTCGTTCTAAGACATATCTGGAGTAGATCAAGGAACTTATAAGTGTCACTCTTGAGTATGCCTGTCAAAAAGATGCAAAAGTGTGTTCAAGAGGAAACACCCCGAGGCGGGTAGATCAAGTCAGCTAATGAGACGCATGTCTCGAAAATGTACATATAGTATATTGTAAAGATACAAACATCTCGTTGATTTCTAGGAAAATTCCAGAGTGAAGGAAGAGTGAGAAAGAGGAGCGAGGAGGATCCATAGGATTTTGTGTAGACTGAAGGGTTTGATTTCGAGCCCCTGCTTCTCCATTCACTGCCTCATCACATCATCACTATTCACGAATATTATAAACTAAGATGCTGACTGGGATTATGAAGCATGTGATAGTTGTTTAGACACTTTGGACAGATTAAATAAAGCATAATACAAAAATAACTAGCTTAATCCCTGTCTCACAAAACCCAGTACAAATTACTTCTTAAGCTCGCATATAGAACTAATTCCCTTTTCAAAACTGAGACATACGGGGCACTTATATAGTATATCATGTTATAGAAAATGGTCTATGGCTTGAAATTCTATTTTTTGTGAGTATGACAACTTTCTAGGGAAGATATAAACTATGTATCTGTCTATCAAGTTCGCTGACAAAAGCTCCATAATTATAGTTGGGCGCTTCGGTTTAGCTAATATCTGACAAGTTCTTTTCGCATAGGGAACTAGTTTACTTCATGATCTATATCACAACTCCGGTAAACTGTATTCATAATTGTCTGACGTTGTCCAGTTTTCGTAGAAGAACCGGTGAGCCTGGAAAACCGCGGTCTCCACCTTGCAATTTCACCGCCCATGCTTAGTTACTTTCGAAAGCCGCGCTTTGATAGTCATTTCATCATCATTCTCGGTATGTTTCCGAGTTATATTAATCACGGTAAACTAATATAGCGAGAGTTTGAAAGCGCACGCCCGATCCCGAGGATTGCTTCTGCCTGATATGTGTAAAACTTACTTTCTATCAACACGAAGAATATCTAGCAACCCTGATAAATAGCTCTCTAATCCTTGAGCAAAAACAGCTATATTATGCAGGTCTCAGATTAGTGATAAGGTTTGATGCAATATGAGATAGAATGTTCTAGATTAATGAAAGAGACAGCATTAAGTGTGTTAGTCTGCTTGGTGTCTTGGATCAGAGCTGCAGCTTTAACCAGGGTTGGAGCCAATGAATATCTCCTGCTGAGCTGAAGCATGTGCTTGTAGCATAGCTTGGGGGAACGTGGATAGAAGGAATACCAACCGTCGGAAAAGGGAATCCGAGCAGTGTATATGCTTGATAACAGCCCTACCCGACTGTTCGAGAAGGTGCAGGGGGTGATAGAATAGTAGGAGTTATGTCCAGTAGAGAATATACAATAAAAAGTCTGCAAATGGGAGTAATTTGAACAGGCTGTACCCTTTCTTCATCAACCAACGGAGAGTCAGGGCTTGAAAATAGAAGTATAATCCGTACATATAAGCCATCTTTCCGATGAACCAATCATGATCATGGCTCTATTGATGATCTCGTTCGCCTCGGAGTGCTAGTAATGGAATATCATATTGAATTAGCTACACGAAGAGTCAGGTACTGTTGTGGGCGATATCTGAGCGCAGTGCTCAGATCAGGTGCACAGCTTCCCACTGAATGCGACGGTCAGGCCAATTCGGCTTTGCGAGGCTGTGGGACCGTTGAAAGATTGAGTTCTATCTGCTACGTCGTTATCAAGATCATCACCGTTGATCCCATGTACACAGTGCAAATTAACGATATCAAAGACCTCGCAAGCCAAGCTTCCACATTTACGGCGCAACACTCGGCAGTGTGCCTGGGCATAAGCCCACAGATAATCTAGCATGATCACTAGCTCTAGGTGGCAAGCCCTAAACCTTTTAATCTTACAGGAAGAGCAGCTTATGTTGAATGCCGTTGTGGAACATGTGGTGCCAGTACCAGAGAGAAGCCGGCGCGGCACGCCATGTCTCAGCCCACACAGCACCAGGACAATAATCAGCCCTACAGAGCTATCAGATGACATACATATCACTGAATCCAGGGGCGAGCCACTCAAAGCCATCGCCACCGTTCAATCTCCGGACGCATACGCAACTCAGTTTCATAATGACATCTGATGTTCAGGTACGGGTGCTATCAACGTATACTACGACTCAAATGGAAGGAAGCCGCGTGTTACGCAGCATCAGGAGAATACCACCTAGCTATCAACTATCACATGCGTTCAAGCCAATTACTGAAAGAGCCATACATCCTTGTCGACCTCGGCGATCGATTTGGTTTCAAGTCACCAGATAGGGAAATCCGGTTCCTGGTAGATATGCGAAAAGGGCCCTGCGGGAGGTTGGATTTGAGCTAACATGGAACAAGGTGTCATCCTGAAGGATCCGGCCTATGGTCTGTGCTGTTAGTGCAACCCTGCGGGTTAGTCAAAACGTGCTTTCAATCAATGCGTGGAGGCCCGGTCTCTAAGAGAAGTTGCATCGAGGCCAGACTTCTCAGTCGAGATTTCGGCAAAAGCGCCGAAATTATCTATTGGTTGGCCCTGAGGCCCTAGCGGCCCCTCTCGAAGCAAGGGTCCCATATCAGGTACCTATCAATAAAGGTCATGGCAGGGAAAGGTATGTTCCAATCAGCATCGCGCGTCGGAGGTGATGTTCAGTCGATATGTCTGGGTCGCGTAAGGTGACCTCTCATTTGTTGTCCTATGTTTGCCGCCATCCTTCGAGACGCGTAGATAAGATTATTCACAGATCCGACCAATATAAGAACCTGTAGAGAAGAGTATTGGCAGAGAGATAAGAAATCCAAAGCAGAACCGGAGAGCTTGATCAACATTGACCAGGTTGTTCAGCAATGCAACGTGCGATAGTGGCGACAATTGAGTAATCAGTAACCTCCCTGGGTTTGGAGATTATGACCCTGGTGTCTTGAGCTTCCTGGAAGGTATAATTGGAATTAATTGGGTTTTGATTGGTTTGGGATGAGGGATAACGAGGAAGGATTAGCACGCTGGACGAGAAATCCAGGCGTTTCTTTTGCCGACACTTGCCGCCTTGAAACGAGATTCTTCACATTTTCCCCTCCCCCCCCCCCCAACGCTTTCCCCCCTCAACGCGGTCGAGGATCCATGATGAACGATGCGTAAGCCCCGAATCTCTTCAACCGATGCTACCATTGCACTTCTAGCAATGAGTCGAACGGCAGCCGGGGGTCTGGCTCCACAATTGCACCGCAACATGGCTGCGCTAACAGGGTCACGGCAGCGCGCCAAGTCGACGGACTGGTTTGACAACCATCTCCATCTGGATAGTAGGGAGACCTCTCATCCTTCATCCTATTCTGACTCTGGTGTGTGGGAAAATGATAGAACGCTGAATTGTGTTTCTAGATAGTTACACTACTCATCGGCAGTCTCCGAATGGGACCCCTATGGGATAGACGGTATTTGTCAACGGCTCTGAGTCGACGAAATGGCAGACTGTGGACCTGCATTGGTCATGCTACGATGGTGAAGCGAACTAGACATGGATCTCACAGCGCTAAAACGTAACTTGTTCGGTGATTCCGCTGGTAGCCGTCCGTCCAGGGTTCACCAAGGTCGTATTGCAGCAACCGCTGTTTGAGGTAGACGAAAATGGTGAAAACTTTTCCTCCAAAGGTACAGTCGATCCGACCTTATAAGGGGATCCTCACATGTCGCGATGTGCAGGCTTTTCGGATAATCTGATATTCTTCGCGATCTGCGCGATCGGCCTGATACTGTGACCATTGGACCGATGATCCATCTGTTCCTGACAATTTGCATGGGTTTCGGAGGGTAACACTCAACGCAGTATCGTCCCAAACCCAATTAGAATGACTGAGGACCTGAACAAATGGCGTGGAGGAGCGGATGAGATGATAGGGACCGCTCCAGTAAAGGAATGCTCGCTCAAAGGGGCAAAGTCTCTCTGCGGCCAATGCACCATCTTCCCTCGAGAGATCTGCCCGAGTACCGTCGGTTTTCTACTGCTAGCAGCAGGAGGTACTTTCCAGTGCCCCCTCCCTTACGCAGCTCACCTCATGATAAGCCTGGACAAATCATCCCTAGTCACCGCCACCCGACAGCGGGTGTCAATCCAATCCCACCCACTCTCACCCCTCATCGCTCGCGCAGCTCCCACCCGATCCGGTTTACGCTGGGACCACAACAAGGGTCCTGCTGCTAATCATGTCCATCACCCCCTCTCGCTAAGGAGTCGGACGACGGTATCACGGTCCCCTTCATATCTTTCTAGAAGGTTTGCAGGGTGAACCGGATTGGTCACAATGTGCCGATTAGGAAACATTCTACCCCAGGTTCGTTATTACCCGCTGCGCCAATGGGACTGCCTATCTCGTCAACGCCTGTCCACCTAACACCATTCTTCGAATGCTCAGTCTGGTGCGAGCGTTAAAAGGCCCATCCTCCTCCCCACTCAAGGAGTTGGATGATTTGCACGGGATCTTCATTGCTTGACCGCTGCTTTCTCTACGCTCAGCTTGTTCAAGAGCAATTGCTCCTCTCTGCCCTTGGCTTGTCCACCTTATCCCCGAATGATTGCTCTGTTTAAAAATTCTATTCATCTCGCACAATGACCCGAACCACAGAGGATGTCAAATACGAACATCCCTTGTGGGACCGCAAAGGCTTCGATGGGGCCGACGACGGTAGACCCACGATCGACGGGGACACTGCACGCCCGAAGGGACGGATCCGACGATCGATGACCGCCTGTAATACCTGTCGCAAGCTGAAGACCAGATGCGACCTTGATCCACGCGGCCACGCATGTCGTCGCTGCCTTTCGCTCAGGTTAGCATGCTCATTACCTTGTTTTCCAGTCGCCTTCCAGCGATCGGAACCAAGCATGACTCGTAGAAATTGCTAACATCCGTTTTCTACCACTAGAATCGATTGTCAGCTGCCCGAGACGGCCGACCGCTTCCAAGACACTTCGTCAATGTGGTCGGAAGCGACGACGGCAATCCCGTCCATCGAAGAGCGGCTGATCTCTTTAGAAAAGAACATGAAGGAGATGACCGGGTTGCTTCAGCAGATGCTGAGCCAAGCACCAAACCTCTCCGGCATCCAGGCGCCCCAATTAGCACGTAGCGTTCACACGGATGACTCGTCCACCTCTATGGACGGCGTCTCATCCCCTCATTTACCCAGACCGGTTCGTCTCATACAGGACCTTCAATCCGAGTTGATGAGAGACACCGGGGGCTTCCGTGGTGACGGCCTTTCTCTGATCGACCATGTCCCCCAGGGTGCCATTGATCCCAAGCTATCGCAGAGATTGATCCAACTGTACGCATGATCACTTTTCCTTTTTTTTTTTTTTCCCTTCAAAGACTTGTTGACCTTCTCCCATATTTGATGTCAATCTGGGCCATCCACTGGTACTGACACATGTTTGCAGATTTGTAGAGCACTTTGGCCGCTGGATCTCGGTATACAACACTACAGACCTGCATGACCTTCAACGGGCCAATCCTTTACTTTACAGCGCCGCCTGCTTGCTCGGGTCGCGATATGTACCTGGACTACCATCGGCCGTCAGACAGGCCATCGGTCTCCAGGTGCGACAGGCAGCGGCCAGTATCGTATGGGAACGTCCCCCACTGACTCACGAGTCGCTGCAAGCACTGGTGCTTCTCTGTTTATGGCCGGCGACCGTCCAAAAAGAGCCACCGATGGATAGCTGGGTCCTGAGCGGGATCTCCGTTCAGCATGCGACCATCTCCTTTGGCTTCTTGAACTACGCTCCCACCGAGCTGATGGTCAATGATGAGACGGCCGTCCAATTGCGCCTCTGGAATGCGGTCTGTCTGACGCAGCTACAGTACGTCCCCGTGCCCGTGTTAAAGAACGTCGCTGATTACCTATTTAGTCATTCTGTTGGCAATGCCCGTCCACTGCAAATCCAGCAACGTCACCTGGACCACTGTCCCCGCATCCTGGACCACCCGGCTGCGACATTAGAAGATGCTCGGGTAGTTGCGGAGATCCAACTACACCTGATTACCTCTAAGATCCAGTGTAATCCGCTCCTGATGCAGACCAGCGATGTGGAATTCGAGGAGCTCGAACGGTGGAAGATGAAGTGGGCCCACTTGCTCGGTATGATCCCTCCACCTGCCATCTGACCTACACGTACCACCACATGGGACTAACACACTTCCAGCTGGCGATGCACAGTCTACCCTCGAGCTCAGCCTCTGGTTCTGCCAGATCCTGCTCCACCGCACGACCATGCGAGTGCAGCGACAGCGCCCCGAAGATCACCGCCTGCCGACCGAGATCCTTCACAACTCACGGTTCATCCTCAACAAATTTCTGCGGACACCATTCTCAACCGCGTTGTCGGCCATCGACCACGTTTACTTCGTGGTGGGCTACGCCGCACTGAACCTGTGCGATTTCAACTTCCTCGACCCGCTCATCGACCAGACCCAAGCCTTCCTACTACAACTCGGGCCGGATGAGAGCCATATCGCCTACCGGTTCGCATTCATGATCTCGGAGTTTAAGCGCCGCTGCACAGACTGCCACGATGCTGCCTCGTCGGTCTCCTCGTCGGGCATCGTCGACGGCTCGCAGTCGCCGTTCGAGCCCATGTCAAGCATGTCGCAGGCGCCGCCCTTCCTGCCCCAGCTCGTGTCAGATGGCGACGTCGCCGGCCTGATGATGGACGGTGGCGGGTACGCCGTCCTAGACCAGCTGGTGCCGGAGTTTCTAGGCGCCTCTTCATACCCCGGCCACAGCGCCGCCGGCGGCGGTGTGCTAGGGCCCATCACTTGTGTCGGGGCCGAGGTCCCCGTCCCAGTGGGCCCATATCGAGCGGCCAGCTTTTAGCGCCAAACACAATCTGGGATGGCTGGCGGTAGACTATTGCCTTTTACGGAAAATAAGGATCATGTGGTGTTCATTTGGGCTTGCATCTTGTTTTGTTTTTTGACCCGCATATACGAACGAAGTAAGCTGGTCTTCTTCGGTTGTGGCTGTCAAAAAAAGCTAAAACCCCGCTCCTGAACTTACCCCAATCGAGATCTCACCCGACGCGGCAGGTAGTCAAAGTCTGTTTATCCGACCGACTGACTGACTGACTTGCATCTCTGTCGATTATTCCCCCCCCACCTTTTGCACTCACTTCCTCATTGCTGCTATTTATTCTCACACTTGATGGACGGTTTCATGATTTTATCTGGTTGTTTGTGTTTGATTTCCCCCACTTTTAATATAGTATAGACACATATCTGCTTGATAGGAGGTTTCCCAATACCCATACCCATACCCTTTACCCGTTGTTTTTGTTGGAAAAAAAATCCCTTTACATAGTATGTCTATACAAATTTGTTCTCGGGCATCGTCTTTTCTTTTTCTTTTTTTCTTGAATCAAATTAGGATTAGTCTGTAGAGGGAATGTATGCCGGTCGGTTGGGGAAGGAGGAATAGTTATCATTGGATATGCTGCGTGCGGAGGAAACTCGTGCGGAGTATAATCGCCACACTGGAACCTTGTCTCGGAAGGATTGGGGGTAGATTATTTGGAATAATAAACAGTTTAAGATGGATAAAATAAAACAAACACATAAGCTGAATTCAATCAGAAAGACATCTCAATAAGTGAACAAATAAATTAGAGAGAAAAGGAAAAAAGATAGCCAAAGCCAAAAACGGAACCCAAGCACGAAAGTCTCGATTGTATAATTACTAGTAATAACAAGGCATGCATGCATCCATCAATCAATCAATCAATCAATCAATCAATCAATCAATCAATCAATCAATCAATCAATCAATCAACCAACCAACCAGAGCACGAGGATACTTCTTTAGTCATATGCTGGATTCCAATGGCATGATTTACCATGATCTACGTAGATAGATAGGTAGATAGATAGGTAGATAGATAGGTAGATAGATAGGTAGGTAGTAAATTAGGTAGATAGGAAAGGTAGGTAGTATTTTTCGCATCCCATTCGTTTCTATCGGGCATGGCTTGCGAGGTGAGGTGTCACGCAATGATGATTGTGGATAGTACACGGGGTAGCATGCGGTTTTTTTTCTTGTCTATTTGTTTCACTTGGTACGGATGGGGGTGGAGGGTTAAGATTGGAGGGGAGAAGGGGGTAAGGGGTCAAGAGATCAAGGCAGTTCTATCGATGGGATCACGAAAATTGAGAGGTGGGAGAAAGGGGAAAATAGGTAGGGGCCTATGAATGTGTTACTCGCCGGGTAATATTGCAGGTTGGTTATTGCTTTTGGAAGATATGGACTTGATTGATTGAATCTATAATGATAGTGTAGTGGTAATAACCATATCTGACTTGTGTATATAGGCCATCAGTGCCCACACAAGTCCATAGGAAATGTGCAACTGGAAACAGGAAGTAAATAACAGACCGAACCGGACCGACCATATGCGCCATGAAATATAACAGAGATGAAAAATGAAAATAAATGAAGATAAACATGAACTCCCGGTTCTACCGGGTACCCCTCGTATGCATGTCAATGTGTTATCGACAAGAGATGATAAATGAACAGGTAGATTGGAAGCCGCCAGCTGATGAGGGTTGAGAGAAAATGGTAGAAATGATAGATGCTGGTGGCTGGACAGATACGGCGAGGCGATGCTGAGGTGACGTATGGGAGGGTGGAGATGAGTCACCATATCTGTCGGACTTTTGAAAGGTGAAGCGGTAGATGGAGAAAGAAAAAAGATAGAAAACACCCGAGGTCGACTCGGTCATAACCAAAAATCAAATGAACAGATTTACCAGGTTTCCTAATTCGAGTTAGTAGGATTCAATCACCAGGATAAGTAAGGAAACATACAGCAATATACTGGCCTGCTTCGTTCTTATTCTTCCAGAACAGCTTGGCCTCTTCCTCGTTCAGATTCCCCTTCACCATGGCGACGTCGACGAGGGCAGCTTCGACGCCCTCGCCCATGCCCTTGCCGCTACCGCAGACGAAAACACGCCCGTCCAGGGCGTTGATGACGAACCAGACCAGGTCGGCCTGGTGGCGCACTTCCTCCTGCACGTACTTGCTCTCGCCTTTGCGGCTCTGCACGACGGTGCGGACCTTGGCCTCATCCACGCCCCACTCGCCGCGGTAGAGCTCGTCCAGTAGGGAATCACGTACCCCCTGCAGCACCCAGACCTTGTTGGCGCAGTTGGCCGACTTCAAACGGCGTTGCACGAAGCCGCGGAACGGGGCGACGCCGACGCCGGCGCCGATGAGGAGCATGGGTCCGTCGGACGCGAAGCGCGTGGCTAGCGGATTCGCCATCAGGCCGCGGAACATCGGGATGTGAATGTCGAGCGTCGACGGGTCGATGCCTTGCTTCTCGGCGTCGACTACCTGGCGCGCGACGCGCTCCATGAAACCTGACCCGACGCCTGTACGCTGGCCTCCTTTCCAGTCGCCGGACTCGGCGACTGTTACGGCTACCTCGACTAGGCGACGCTTCTGCGTGCCCTTGGTGGCGTGCGAGAGCAGGGGATCCTGCGACAGGGAGTAGAATCGAGGCATAAGGGTATGGAGGACGGAGAGGAGGTGGTCCAGGGGCGGCTGCGAGGACGGGAAGGCGTGCAGCAGCTGGGACACGGTGACGTAGGACGCGGTGCGCAGGTCACAGAAGGCGCCCTGGCCCTGGGCGGAGGCGAGGAACATGAGGATCTGTCGCTCACTGGGCTCGCTGGCGTATTCGCCCAGCAGGCGGAAGAGGTCCTTGGTGGGGGCATAGCTCTGGATGTCAGAGCACCAGTTGAGCAGCTCGCGCCGCGTGGTAATCAACTCGCGGGGCTGGTCATCGCCCCAGATGGTGGGCCATCGGCCCTTGGCGGTGCGCACGCTGACCTTCTTATCGCGCAGGGACTTGGGAATGCCCAGCTGGTTGAAGATGTCCTCCACTTCTTCCTCCTTGTTCATGGGGCACACACCAATGGCGCCGCCCACGACGAAATCGACATTGCCGCCCTCGGTGGGGTAGTCGGTGATGTCGATGTCAAAGTGGTACGTGCGCTTCTCCGCGCCCGATCCGGTGAGCTCGCGGGCGTGGTAAACGGGGGCACGGTAGACGTGGTAGGGGGGATGCGGTTGGACAAACGGAGGGGGGTGATCCGCCGGTCCGAGCTGCATATCGACCGCGGATGCGGGAATCTTGGAGAACGTCACCGTCTTTTCAGGGAGCGGGACGACGTTGGTCAGGGAACTGTCCAACGTCAGGAGGTCCACGTTCAGCTCGAGAGCCCGGTACGCCTTGTTGTCCGGGGGGGTGACTCCATTGGAGCCCACGACGGGACCGATAGTCTGGCTCAAGGGCTGGCTGCGACAGCAACCACCGCCGCAGCATAGCGGTTGAATCTTCTGTGTACCCGCGGAGCCGACACCCTCCAGAACTCTCCGCATGTCATCGGAGTTCTGGGAAATCAGCACAGTCGACGCCCGGCGCTGATGCCCGGTATTTTCTGTCGACGGAAGCTGCTTCAGACCGAGGTCCTCATCTGATGGGGGCTCGGTGGCGGGGGTCTGTGGGCTCTGGGGGTCGCTGCTGCTGGTGGTCATGGTGTCCTGGGACGATACAGAGGTAGCCGTGAAGGTCCGGTCGGTGATTGACAGTGAGCGGACACCGCGAGGTTCCTCGGGAACCGGGTTATCCGGATGGGAGGTCGACGAGACGGGGATATTCGGCCGGTAGTCGCCATGACCGGTCGAGGCGCTCGGAGACCGCGAGGCCTTGTTCGCCGGCCGAGCGGGTAAAGCGACCGCGTGCACTGGTGGGTATCAATCAGCCACTGTCTGTTGGTCGTATCTCGATGTGTACCGAGGATCACAAGGTCGCCTCGTCGGGAGGGAAGAGGAGGGAGGTGCGACTACTTACCCATTCTGTAATAATGATTGGGGGAGGGTTTTGGAAATAGAGTTGCAGGCCGACCAAAGATTTGTCGGTCAGGAGGGACGTCGGAGGTTTAAAAGAAAGTTCTCACGTTATGGAGGAGTGGTGGTATGATGGGGGAGTGTCAAGATATGGGGCGAGCGGGAAAAAAAGCAAAAAGGATGAGAGCCACCAAAGCTAATTCACATAAGGGGAGGATCAAAAGGAGATAACAGACCCGGGTGATTGGAGACTGGGTCCGTCCAAGGAGATTTAGGGGGGAATTAAACAACAAGTCCGGACTGGAGACAATGAGGAGAGTCGATCAAGATGGAGGAAAGAGAGGGGAAAGACGGAGGGAAAATGGTGTGTTCTTTCTCGGCTGAGGCAAACCGGCACCGGAATGGCGGTTCCGTCCAGACTAGCTCGGCAAGGAGGAGAGACTAGGGGTGGATCCTCAGGGTAATCTGATCTGATAGAATTGGGAACTTCCGGGTGGACGGTCGATAGGGATCAATGGTGATTTTATCGAAGTTGGTAGTGATGGAGTAATGTCAAATTACCTCGATCATGAAAAGAACCCAATGGATTAAATACCCAAGAGAATCCCGATCAACCCGATCGAATGGGAAATCCTGACGGCCACACCGTCAAACCGGGAAAAATCAGATAAGCATGATGAAAGCACTGTCGCCACCTCCGGCCAATACTGTATCATACCATTACCCGTGCCTTCCCGAGTGGTCTTCCTTTTTATTATCATCAACAATCCTCACTCATCATGTGTAAATTCCAAACATCAGGAAATGTGACTGCCCCATACTTTTGATAGAAAAACTCCTATTATCCGCATATGACGGCCCCATCAACTGTGATCGTACAGTAGTTGCATCGAGGGGAAGGAATTACCCTAGCGGGGTAAGATTCGCGACCGGCGTATTTATCAATACGGAAATGTTAAATACCGTCACCGATCTAATCTGATCCGGGTGCACGCATCCCTTCCGGCCGGAGATTGTTATTCTCGACTGGACCTTGGCCCTGCAGAGTCATTAATTTTCCCTGTTGTTTTCTAATCGGTGCAAAGAACGATATCGATCATAATTATCCTATCTGTAGAGCCAAGGGAACGGCAAGGCATGGCCAGTGGGTGTTACCACGCAACCGAGGTCCTGGTCACGTGGCACCGGAGCTTGCAGGGTCCGATCAGATAACTGACGGTTACCGGGTGGCACGACGGCGTCCCATCCAGACTGGTCGGTGCGAGAATGCAAGAATCAATGCGGATTTATGTTTGATTATTCTTTATTCTCATCATTACACCATTGATCTACAATTCTAATCCTTATTCTTTGTAAATAATAACATCCAGTCCAGTAAACCGGTGGTGACTGTCTCCCGGGCTTCCCGGTCTCAGGCTCATGTGACAGAGATTGGCGGGCCCACTCAATCCCAACAAAGCGTCGCACACGGGATCATATCAATCAGATTATCCATCTGATTAGGGTCTCCCCAATGAACCTCGTCCTCACCGCTCCACTTTGCATACCAACACCCCTTGAATGACAATAGTCCGATCGTTCACCTGCTTACCCGATGGGTGTATTTACAGGGGCCTCACCATTTCCGTCCAAGTCAGCCCACGGGGAACCCCTGCCTCCTCTATAGGTCACCCAGTAGGTCAGTATGAAGTAACCGTCCAGCCGACCATCATCATCAGCCAATCGTCCATCCACGAGGCAAAAGTGAGTCCGTCGGGGCTCGACCCTCCCACTTTCTCCAGATCAGGCATAGTACAGGACCTGGTTGGTGTCTAGGCCCCGAGCTTTCTCCTGCTCTCCCCAGAAGCGCCAAAAGCAAAAAAAGGGGAGTAACTTCGTTTCGTCTCCATCCACAATGTTTATTTAGAGTGATCGTCGTTTCGTGCATGGGGGTTCATTCCACGCCTTTCTACAAAAGTTCCTAGTTCCCTGCGCGATCGGAGTCTAGGTTCTGACGTTGGATTCTTGGGGGCTTCCAGCATGTCGTAGTGGAAGTTAAATTCGGTGGGGAGGTTGAGAGGGTAATGGTTGCGAAGTGGAGATCTCTCTTCTTTTCTTTCCTTTTCTCTTTCCCCTCTTCTCTTTTTGTTGGTCTTATATAATCCGTATATATAGCTATCTCCTCTATTCTGTGTTGTTTTTTATGCTGTCTCCAGTTGTGAGGACCTGTTTGGTGTCCTTCCTATGCACCTCGTTTGACAGCTATCCATTCGGTTCCCAAAGCAAGATGACCAGCCATGTTAACAAGCATCCGATATAGAAATAATGACAGTCAACGGAAGAAATAAACATGAAGATAGTAGTATCAGACATGTAATACACCACTCAACACGCTATTATCCCTGCTACTAGAGATCGGCTTCGGCCTAAGATATGCGTACATTGAAAAACAAAAAGTCAAACTTGCCGGTCTGCCTTGCTGCCTACCTAGTTAGTATCCACTCCTCCAAGGCCCTCGCTCCACTTTAGTCTAGTCTTTCTCGTCCAGCGTCGGGCTTCTGTTAGCTCAGTGATGGTTTCCCGCACAGCCTGGCCTAGCCCTAAGCTGTTAAACCGCCGTCTCTCTCTTTCTCAAAGTATACATTATCGGCCAGGATACTTTTGTTCGGTAAACTTGCCCATCTAGTCTATCTGTTAAGCCTTAGTCTTAGGCAACTTATTGGTATTCTAGAAAATAACAAACCCCAGAACTATTGGGCGGAAATCGCCTGATTGTTTTCGCGTGTCTTCGGCCCGAGGCACGGGAGACACAGGGAAAAAGGAGGACACATCTTTGTCTACATACAGTGTGAGTAGTATTCACTCTCCAATTTAGTGATACTTTAGTTTTATCATGGTTGGGGGAGAGATAATTGGCGACAAGCAAATGAACAGGGTTGTGTCAAAACAACGAGGGGGGGGTGAGGTTGCATCACAGTACTCTATATATTTGTTGGATTGTTGATGTGTAACCCACATCAACTTCCGGTACGCTCCTAGGATCAAAATAACACATAATATAAGCACGGTCAGAGTATGGTAGTATTCAGTATAATGGGGACAGCCTACCCGGTTTTAGGCTTAGAAAACATACACGTATGAACAGACAGGTTGATTTTACGACGTGGGGTACACATCAAATGACTAGTCAAATTAAATGATATAAAATTTGAAGAGCTCAACGCCAGACTGTGAGGGGCGTTGGAGTGCAGAAAGACCGACGAATTGGCAAAAAATATTAACGACATTGATGATCCCTAGGGCGATGAAAAATACTGCGAATGATTTGCAAGACTAAAAGCAATACGAAGAGCCAAAACAACAATTTATGTGGGAGCACGGCAAGCCAGCTGACATATTAGCCGATGATATGACTCTCAATTCCAGATGAGGGAGCTAAATATGGAGATGACGGTGTGCTAGCACATGGAAGCCGGGGTCTGCATCTGGTCGTTTCAAAATAGCCACAAATCAGGGTTTGGACGACTAGCTTACGTATCTACGGCTCACCGTCACAACGGCACCTAATTTACAAGGTGTTGAGACATCTTCTATAGTGGGGTGGGCGGGATGTGTCGGTGGGAGAGGACCCTGCGGTGGCCGGATTACGCCTCACAGAGAAAAGTGTGGCTGATGCCAGGGACGTATGGTGCTAAAAACGCTGGATGGGAAGAGAAACCAACATATTGTGGAAGTTTTTCCTGTACGATGACGTCCTATTTGATCGACTGAGCCACAACAAGGCTGACAGGAGGGTCAGCTCGGTAGGTAGAGGCTGGATGCCTTTGAGGCTCCCGACTTCCTAGGGATTATCCATCGAGTAGATCACTCAATTGGTCAGCACTTAATACGATATGGCCAATGAGAAGGTCGCCTGTCCATTTGGGTTGGGATCCCTGTTCGAGGTTAAAATATACCGGGCCAATCAGCCTGTGCTGTCTCCCTGGATGATGGATCGACTGCATTCAACGGCCGAGTCCTCTACCAAGCTAGGGCAATTCGGGAGAAGCGCTAGTAGTTCCCATGTACATAGCCCTTACTCTTTTAGTATACTTCATGCTTGAGGCTGACTTTGGGCACATTGGAGAGTGACTGTTCAGTGACGTTTTTGGTCTTCCAACTGAACATGAAGTAGGTAACAAGAACTAGCGGCCATAACTGCCTAGACTCACGACGATTCCAGAAGTCCCAGGTGAAAATATTGGCCGATCTGTCCTGTTTGCATCTATCGATCTTCAGCTGAACTGATGGTTGTAGCATTGTGACTCAGGCTTCTTATTTGTCACCCCGTACAACAACTCAGGCATTGACGACCGATGATGACAGTGCCAGAAGAATATAGTCATTTACATCCATCCAGCCTAGTGATGTTGTGGTGACTAGAAGATCTATATATACCCCGTCCTCTCTTTTACGAATTCTCAATCAACAACAGCAATTCTCTGTTGAGGACGACGGCTTCGTTTTGACTGGTCGAGGCAGACTTCCCCAGATATAATGCAGCACCGAAGAGCCGGAAGGCCCAAATCTCGTAACGGGTGCAGCACCTGCAAGTACGTTTTCCAAAACGGTTTTCCTGGGATTCCATCCACTAATATCGATAGAGCTCGCCACGTCAGGTGCGACGAAGAAAGACCAGCCTGCGGACAATGCGTCAGTACCGGCCGCAAATGTGACGGATACACTCCTGGCATCACCCAGAAACAACTGCACGAAAATGTCCTGGCCGCCTACCAGCACCGTGTCCCTCCCAACCCCGACAATCGGATTGCAGTCTACCAAGGCACTCCCAAGGAAAGGGAGTATGTACACACCTTCTGCACATTAACCTCCCCCGTCTTTTCGGGGTTCTTTGTCTCCGAACTCTGGGATCATCTTCTTCCACAGCTGAGTCACACCGAGCCAGCTGTCCGTCACGCCATCACGGCTGTCGCCGCCGCCCACCGGCAATATATTGCAGGATCCCAGGGCAGCGAGGAGGAATTCATTCTGCAGCAGTACAACCGAGCCATTCGTGTCTTGGTCGACGGCCACCCGTCCACGGCACAGAGAACGCAAACCAGCCAGCCAAACCTCACCCTAGTGAACTGCTGTCTGTTCGCATGCCTGGAGATGCTCCACTCCAACCACCAGCAGGCCCTCGACCATGTCGACGCCGGGCTGCAGCTTATGTGGCAGGACCAAAGCGCCCACAGGGGCCCAGGCAATCTCCCAGTCCTTGACCTCGAGCTATGGGATCTTTTTTGCCGGCTACATATGGATCTCACGATGTTTGGGCGCAGAACATGGCCACTGGTGGTGGGAAGCAATGAAGTCCATATACCACGCTCCTTCGGCGATATCACGCAGTCGCGGCGAAATCTGACCAAGCTGATGAACAAGACGATGATGGCTTCGCCGAACACGAACCTGCAGCCCCTGCTACTCCATCCGGACATGCGTGAGCACGACCAAGGGTTTCTTCAGTCCCAGCGTGAGCTGATGACTCACCAGTCAATGTACGCAGCGTGGTCAGACACATTCAACCGATTTTTGCAAACACGACAGGGCAAAGCCGCTGACCAGCGCTCTGTGCTTGCGTTGCGCATCGACCACCACTTCGCCATCCTGTGGACTCTTTCCACCACTGCTATGAGTGAGATGGAGTACGACAGGTATGATGCACATTTCGAGAATATAGTCCGCATGGCCAAGGGTCTATTGCATCTTGAGCGGTCGGCTCAAAATGGTGTCTCTGAAATGAGACCCTTCTGTCCTGAGCCAGGTGTTCTGCGCGCTTTACAATTGACCGCCACCAAATGTCGAGACCCCTTGCTGCGACGGGAAGCCCTCCGCATCATGTCAGATAATCCCCGGAAAGAGAGCGTATGGGATTGGAGGCGGTCGGTCCGGCTCGGCAAATTCTTCACTCGTGTCGAAGAAGCTGAGCTACGGGATTTACCGGTGAAGCACCGAGTGCCAGGGGAGCGGAACAGGATCGTACATTACCAATCGTGGGACAACTGGGAAGCCAGTGAGACTCGGGTTCAGCTGTGGCTCTGGTCGGACTGGTCCAGACGTGAGCTGTCTTGTTCGGTAGAAACGGTAGATTGGTTGTCATGAAGTGGGCAGTGGGCCATGACACAGTCCAGGAGACAGGGTCTGGCCCTTCCAGGTTGAAACCTAGGTACCCTGCCCACGAGGTGTGACTAAGGAATGAAGTGGGCGCGAGGAGGATCAGATGAATTTCGACAGGACATATCACCGTGTACCATTATTTTTAGAGAAGGATATTGCTATACACGAGGCGTTGGTATAGCAAGTACAGTTTTACATCAAATAAGCTTCCAATAGACTGGACAATAACACGAAGCTTGAATACGCCATAAGATTTTTTGATTAAACGCTATCAAGCTTTTGATTGTGCGTCAAATGTTAACCTTATCTTGCAGAGTGGCTCAGACATGTGTATATTAAAGTTCAGGAGGCTATGTCTTATCCACCTCAGATGCGCCATACTGTCAACGACTCGGTCCCTGAGAAGTCACTAGTGCTACTATTTCATACACTCTCGTCTTTCTTTGCAATCAATTACATCCGAGCCATCCAGATCGAGTGGTCATTAGCGCTTTCTTTTTTCAAATTCTTAACCACATACATCATGTATCCTTTCGCACGCGCCACCACCATCAGGGATATTACATATGATGTAATTGAGCCTTTGTCTCTCAGACAATGTTTATTGATTCTCACACAATATTGAAGCCAGAAAATTCCAACTCGTGTGGTAATACAGATGCAATGGATGGAAAGAGCCAGCACATTAGATCATGGCTCTGTACTCTTTATAGGCCCCATCAATCCTCAATCGCCACAAAGCAGACCTTCCAAGTTTCTTCGAGAAAAATCTATAACAATACAAGAAACAAACTCGTCCAACACAAAATGCGTTTTTCGTTCGTGTCTGTCGTTTCCCTCCTTGCTCTAGGCACTCTCAGCAACGCCCTGAAAATCCGCGACGGCTCCGGCCAGGGCGTCGAGGATAGCGGAAGCACCCAAAACGGCCATGCCGGTGGGGATACCGCGAATGGTGAATCCAGCGGAGACTTGGCCAACGGCAGTGGCATTGAAGATAACGTGCAGGGTAACGACACCGGGGACCTTCCCAATGGCAACAACAGCAACGGAGACTCCCATGACGGCGACGACGATGACGATGATGACGACGACAACGGCGACATCAAACGCATCTGCCCGCAGCTCGCAACCCAAGACAAAGGCTGCGTCCGCTACACGCGAGGCTTCGACGTGACTGGCGTCGTCAGCGAAGTCGACCTCGCCTTCCCCGAAGTTGCTAGCGAATGCGACTGCATCCAAGCGTGCCTAGACATGCCTGGGACATGCGCCAGCTACGTGTGGATGTTTTCCACAGCCGACGCAGTCGACTCCGGCCACCGCACTTGCACCTTATACTCCGATTTCAATCTCCCCGGCAGCGTGGCGATTCAGTTTGATCTCGAGAGCGCCAATAACCAGAACATCAACGCCGCGCAGATCACGTCCGAGGGAGCGAATCCGGATATCGGCGGTCCTGTTCCTCAGGCCTTTCAGGACCTCGATAGTGTCGTTCCTGATCCTGATGCGGTTTCTGGCCCCGTTTGGCTGCTTGCTAATGGGGAGGTGCAGTGTTAGTGGGTTGTTTGAGCTTCTGGGTGGTCTTCCTTATCGAGTGGGGTGGGAGAGATGATGTTGGAGGTTGTAATGTGGGTTTGTATTGAAGTTTGCAGAGGAGAGGAGTCGGTGAATCTTGACTCTGATTATCCGTGTTTTGGCGGTGTTATGTTCGAAAATAATTGATAATAACTTGGCTGGAAAGTGTTATGATATAGTATCCACACATACAAAATATATCGGATTCGATTTAGAGCTATAAGAAATCACTTTACATGTTGATTCTGGCTCTCCTCGATACGCTCTTGTGTTATACGTATACATAGAAATTAGGGCTTCAGTGACTAACGATGTTGACATGTGAGGGATACTCCGTAGACAGGATTGCCTCCGACCTACAATTAACAACATAACGGGCTGACAATATAGCGTGACGTCGTCAAAATACCTCGCTAACTGTGGGCCCGTGAATTCCCGTACGGATATCTAGTCACTTCCAGCCTTGGTTCAGATCATATGGTCAGTATCCCAGCTACTCCGAGGAGAAAGATGTCCAGATGTCCCCCGCATTAGATCAAATATAGACACGTAAGATATTGATAAAAAAAAATGAAGTTTGGCAACGTTCTTACCTAATGGAAATACCAGACGGTCTGTGCAAGAAAAAGGTTTCTTCTTCGCCCCGGTTCCCATTGGCTGTGTACCGCGTCAATTCAGTGTTTCTACCTGACCACTGTTGCCTTATGAGTACACCCGCAGTTGTAGGGCGATGATGAGCTCCGAGGGGGAGAACAAATTGACCAGAAGGTTGATGTCAAGTAGTCGTTATCCCTGTGGAGAGGGTTATTGACATGCTATACACAATAACAATATAGAACAGTAGATGGGATTAAATCCATGCGGCCCTCTTGTTCAACTCTCTCACATTTTTCGTGAAAATTTCTAAGTCAACCTCAACTTGCCTGGCTAGCTCAATCGGCAGAGCGTGAGACTCTTAATCTCAAGGTTGCGGGTTCGACCCCCGCGTTGGGCTTTTCTTTTTCTTTACTTTTTTTTTTTTGCTTTCTGTCTGTCTTTCATAATAAATACTGTTTTATTTTTTTGTTCGCACCAGATCTTTATCATGGAGATACTGATAACGGGGCCTTTCCGGAGCAATCGTTGGATGTGAACTTGTCGCTCGGTACTCTTATCCACAGGCTCCCAACAGCAACCAACTCTCTCCATGCGAGCAAACCTGCCACCATACTCACTCTCTGGCATCGGGGTCTCGCGCTCCATGCCTCGCCAACAGCTCCACAATCTCGTCACTAAGCCCTCTCCTCGTCGCCAGCTGCAAAACCGACAGCCCTAACGAGCCACTATTTGGGACATCGATCCCCTTGTCCACCAGATACCGCACCAGCTCCTCGCTCCCTCGGTCGACAGCCACACTGAGCAGGTCCCCGTGATGCCCTACGCCGTCATGGATACACCCGGGATACATTTGCTCCAGCGCCTCCCAGATCCCGACGCCGCCTTCTGCTGCAGCAAGTCGGAGCCCCAAGGATAGCTGGGGTCCCGGTGGGTACTGGTGTAGGAGATGGCGGAAGAGAGGGGAGTTTCCGGCGTAAGCGGCGGAGCGGAGCGCGATTTGGGGAGCGTTGGGGAGCCGCGGGGTGAGGTAGGTAAGAAGGGGCTCGAGGCCCAGAATTGTGGCGACGCGGGAGGCGCTGTCAAGGAGGTCTTCGTCGCGTTCGAGGAGGAGATCGTGTAGGTCTGCTGGGGTAGTTGGATTGGTTACTTGTTGGAGGATTGCGGAATCGATGGTTGGGGAGGAAGGGCGGGAAGGGGGCCTGTTTGTTTTCCCGGTTGGTTGGTATCCGTTGTTTGCCTCTACCAGCTTGGGGTGAGGATTGGTGTTGAAGGGGTTTGGGATGTACCTGTCGTATGACATCGGGGTGATGTTTTGGTGGGAATCGCTTGGCTGTGGATGTCGAATGAGCTAGGACATGTATGGACGAAGGGTAACGAGCGTTGGGAGGATTGGAATCACTCAAGAGTGTGAAAGAGCGGGGTGGCAGAGAGCAACAATCCGAATGGGCTCAGCTCGTCAAGACGACTATAGAGATACCTCATTGATTGAGACTGTCCGGGCTACTGTGATTGTGATATTCCACACATGGGGCCAAAAGGAACCCGCTAAGGCCCCGGTCAGCACGGTCCTGGGGCCAAAAATAAGAGATGGATCCCCCCACTTGCCGCCAGTCGGAGAAGATCTGGACACGGGACGTAGAACGGGCTTATAGTGCCCTTGGCACTATCGTTTTCAGGCTCTTAGTTGAACGTCTTTTGCTTATGCCGTACCTGGTTACAAGTCTGATGATAGATTCTCGTTCCTAGACTAGTATGTGCGTGGTGCGGGTTTTGTGGGTAAGGTCTGAGCCACTGGGGGCCATTGGGACTGAAGTATACAACATGCAGCTTCTATCCCTTCCATTAATACGTTTGGAATGATGCCAGCTTCTAACTTGTCCGTATTGTCTCGGTGATATTCTTTGAGCAAAGTCTCTAGACCAGCGAGGATGGAGTTGCCCGTTGCCTTCCCCTGGACTCGCGTTCTCATTGTTTGGACTTTTCTCTTCTATCTCCTGGGCTCAGCCAGCCCGATCCAGAATATCGACGATCCCTCAAAGGGAAGCGTTCCCCAGTCAAACGAGGCTGCCCATATCAACGCTCGGGCAGACATCCCCGAAGTCCCTGGCGTGGATGAGCTCAAGGACAAAGTCATTGAATACGGCGTAGCGACGTCGAAGCCCGACTGGTTCTACACCAAGTACCCACTGGTCACCAACGTGGCCCAGCAATGGATTTCCGAGAATGCCTACGCCGACGAGCCCATCGGCGCCTCTAATAAGGACGAGTGGCAGTATGCTATGTGGGGGCGCATCATTGACCCCATCTGGGCCACCGACAAGAAGGATGCGTTGAAATACGGCATGGACGATGCCGGGTTCAAGCAGAGCCGGAGGGACCTATACGGCGACATGTTCATGAAGCAGCTTTCTCAGGCCTTCGCGGAGGCGTCACAGGGAGAGGTGTTCTTGCTTATCTCGGATGACGCATTCCCTGACGATAAATGGGATACGGATGGCGCGTGGGGAGGTGAGTGTCGAGCGCTCGCAGCCCTATCCTATGGTTTTTGCTAACAGGTATCTTCTGAACAGGGTGGGAGTATCCGGCACTGACGCGAAACCCCAAGGTTGACAAGATCGTCCGTGTCAGCTACCAAAGCCCATGCGTAAAACGCACCCTTTGGACTAAAGGTGACGGCCCGTCCAAGCAAGAGCCCAGGGGCCGGAGAGGCCCGACCAAACCTAAGAAGCACCGTTTGTTCTAGGGTAGAGGGAACGTGATGGTTTACTGGTATACCAGGTGATTTCACTGTGAAGCTTAGTATTTTGCAAAAGCTACAGTTTACAGGTAGTGATGTTGGAATGGATATTTGTATTTGTGAAGATGATTATTAGTACATTGAGAATCTCTGAGACGGTTGGATATAATTCAAATTGCCCAGCGAAGTATAAGCACATCAGATGACCCGTTTATCTTGAGCTTGTCGTCCTCCACGTACTCCACTACCTTTTCTACAATCACCTACAGACATTCACAATGTCATCAAGATTTCCTATCATGATTAGGCCACAATAAGCAAGACATGTGCTCCGTACCTTTCGCAGAATCAGCCATGCGAAAAATCCAAGAACGAGATATCAGAGATACGGGGCCTCACTGGCTCTCACTTCCCCGGTACTTCTTGTCACACCAGCAGTCCCCCAAGATCAGAGAAAACCCCGTCAAGTGTTGCTGTCGGGCGAATTCTGGGGCTGTCGTATAATCGGATGTCGATCTATACGTATGCCAAGATCAGCTACCAGAGTCTACGGCTTATGGCTTCGAAGATCCGAAAGGAACCATAAGCATATACACGAGAGAGCAAATCAGGTCAACGTACCTGACGCAATGGGGCCATTCTGGATTGCTGGCCCACTACACCATGTGAGCATGAGAGAAATCCACTGTTGGCCCCCACCCCCTGGCCGGCCCGCATAACCAGCCCTATCAATTGCCCGATATGGGCAATTACAGTAGGGGTTACTCCAAATCTTGAATGCATAGACCTGGAGAAAGAACATGGGGGTGGCAGTATCCATCGATACTTTCGAGCTAAAAGACCTAAATATCTGTAACATCTAGAACCTATCGGATAGGTTGTAATCAGAATCCTTCTCGAGACAATTCTGGCAAGTTGATACCGATAAGCCTGGTGGCTAGCATGGTGAAAGGGGCCAAAAGCCACGAGTGATCAATAGTATGCAGTCCTTGTGATTCTAGCCCTCGTATGATCATTATCATACAGCTTTGATCTAATTTTTACTAACGATGCCCTCAGGTGATAGTGATGCGACAGAATGGTTAACTTGGCGCAAGTGGAGGGCTGTGCGTAGAGTCATAAGCTAGAGCTTGCAGCTTAGAACATAAGTATATTTTCCTTCTGCATATACCCATTCAATTCCTTCTGCCTGTATATTGTTCGACAATTTCACAGACCCATTGCATACCAGGATACTGCCAGCTGCCTCTCAGAGGCTGGTCTAGCGGTGGAGTGGCTGGAATTTACTGTTCATATTTGTTACATCCCTCCGTGTCTAAAAAGCATACCATGGCTCGTTTCCAGTTACGGCCCTCCTGGGCCAACATCGGGATATTATGGTTGGTGCTAGGCATTTCAATGAGCAAAGTCAATGGCGAGACCGACCAGCATGCCCACACTTGGTTGGCTTATGCTAGAGCCCATGAAGTACCTCAGGTCTTGAACCCAGGCTGCTTAACTATAACAGCAGCAGGCTGGGTTCCTGCAGTCCCCGCACCAACTATCTTCTGTGACGCTTTTCCTGAGCCACCCCCTACCGATCCAGCCCAGCGGAGCGCTGCACAGAGCGTGAAGGATAATTTATTGCCTGGTCACACGTGGCTAGCTTACTCGGTGGCGTCTGAAGTTTCTACAGATTTTCCTTCTCAGTGTTTGACTACCACTGCGACTCCCGGCAACACTGATGGTTGGGCCCATCAATCGCCTACGTCGACTATTTTTTGTGACCCTTCCCCCGATCCAGCTCATCAGGCACCTCCAGAGACCGCTCCCGCTTCAGAACCAACGGACTCAAACCCTGTGCCGTCCACAGAGCTTCCGGCTCCCGCGCAATCTTCAGCTCCTCCAGCACCTGTCCCAGGAAGCTCAGGGCCTGGAGAGTCAAATCCAACTCCTCCCCCAAAGAACCCAAAAGATCCAAAATCAACAGGGCACATTTCAGGCCCTCCACCCGCGGGGACATCGACTGGAGAGCCAGCGCCAACGGAGTCAAGAACAGGGCCTCCTCCAGATACTCCTAGCCATTCAGAGATCCCAGCGCCAGTAGACACTCAGAGGCCCCCAGGTCCAACAAGCCCAACTCCAGTCCCCCCTCCTGCGATAACCACGGCAGGAGATCCAAAGACTACTGAGTCAAATCAAACGGATGACCCAGCTCCGTCGCAGTCGAATTCAGTGTCTCCTCCCCAGGACCCTGGCTCTTCAAAGAACCCAGTTCCCCCTCCTGCGACAGCTACGGCAGGAGATCCGAAGTCTACTGAGTCGAATCAAACGGATGACCCAGCTCCGTCGGAGTCAAATTCGGTGTCTCCTCCCCATATTCCGGAAGCTTCGGAAACATCGAACCCCCCAGTGGCTCCTACAGACAACCCTGAGACAACAGGACCACCTCCAGTGCCTACCGAATCTTCGAGTCCACCCACTCCTAAGCCTCAAACGACCAACCCTACCGAGAACTCCACACCAGGGTCTGATCCCAGTGTGACCCCGGTAGAAACGGTCATTGTGGTAACCAAGAGCGACGAATCTTCTACCTGGACAGAGGATGCGACGACTACCACAGATGCACCGGTGTCCTCCAAAGTCACCCCGGGTCCAGATCCTCCTGAGGCGACCGAACGCGTCCAATCCCTTCTCGACAGGATTCGAGACAAGAAGCCCGACATTGACGATTTCACTGACCATCCAACTGAAGAGAAGGCTGACGACATTCTGGACTTCTTCAATAAGGAAAAGCCCGAAATCGATGACATTCTGCCAACCCTCAACTCTGAGGGATCCGATGACAAAGGGGACTGCAAGGGAGGTGATCCTTTATCTCAGCTGTTCAAGACGGTCAAATGCCAATCCGACAAGATCGGTGAGATTAAGCCGAAAATTGAAGAAGGCAAAACCAACCAATTCAAAGACATTGAAAATATCAAGCCCGTGTTGACCGACATCACCGAGCCCTCTAACACCCAAAACAAGAACGACAACGACGACGACGACGATGACAATACCTCATCAAGTGATAGCTCGAGTTCCGACGAGAGCACATCAACCTCATCAGAATGCGAAACTTCGACAACAGAAAATCTGTACGTAGAGTGCTTTACCACGCCAGCACCTGGTCGCAGACGCCAAGCTGCCAGTGATTGCAGCACTTCAACAGAGACCACCTCGGGTTGCAATATTGATCCCATCACCACCACCTCAGGCTGCACCGACGTAGTCACCGTCAGCAACTGCGATGTCATCTGCCCCTCGACCACGACAGTCACGCCCACAACAGGACTAGAAATCGCCGCCAGGTCCGAGGCCCCGTCTACAGAAAGCTGTTCAACAGCCTGCTCATCGCAAAAGGCATGCAGCACGAAGGACTTGCCCCCGGCCACGACAGCAACCACGACCGAAGTGAAGACGACCACCGCGGAGGATTCGTGTGCGACCTACGATATCGCCACGGTCACCCCCGACGGTGACGGACCCGAGGAGCCGAGCGATGAGCCCAACCTGATCTACGAGGAGCTGGAGCGCATAGATGCCGGGGAGACCCCTACTGCATCGGAAACACCCACCGAGAGCAAGACGCCCGAGCCCAGTCCCTCACCAACCAGTAGCGAAGACGATGAAGAAGACGATGATGAAGATGATGATGAAGACGATGATGAAGACGACGATGAAGACGACGATGAAGACGACGATGAGGACGAAAGCAGCTCTCCAACCCCAACCACAGAGCCATCTTCGACCTCCTCAACACCCACCCCAACCAGCCAGATGATATTCGTCCTGAACTATAGGCCGGGCGACGACCACGACAGCCGATGGGCAATCTTTGCCCCCGAAATGGACGACGACAGCCCAGACTGGTGCTCTACCAACTCTGACGCCTACCAGGGGTACTACCGGATTGAGGAAACGCTAGACCGGTACACAGACGACGTGCCCTTTCCCAATGGCGATGGCGTCAAGTTTGAGAAATTCGGCCTGGATGGCCTCGAGAAGGTCCCCTGCGTCTACAGCGGTACCTGGGACGATCCCGGCAAGCTGACCTGTCTTGGAAACGCCGAGGTGCAATGCTCCTCGGACTTTGATTGGCTTGATGAACGGACGAAATGCGGTGATGATGATGATGATGATGATTACTCGGATATGGTGCCCAGAGTGCGATGCAGTTGGGGGCCTGAGGCAATGCGCCCTGGTTGATTGTATTGGTGTCTTCTTTCGTCTATGTTCATTCATAGTATCTTCTTTCAAGTAAATGTCGAGCTGAAGTGAATTTTCTATGTTCTTACAGAAGGAATGTACGTGTTAGTTGTAATACAAGTCTTCACTACCATATTATACTCAAAGATAAAAGGACGAAGAGCTATTTCAAGCAATCAACCAAAGTCTCCAAGAAAGATATCAAGATTTTCTCTTACAACTAGATCACCAGCCACAGAAATTCAAGCATGCCCTTCTGGATAGGTCCCACGAACCTGCATCTGGTGCGATAATTGGATCCCATAGAAACCACCACGTCTGGTATCTTGATGAAGGTCTCAAGCGAATCATGCCCGGATAACTCTTTGGTACTTCGGTATGGGTGTCCTTGAGTATTTCAATAGCAATTTTCGACAGAGTCACCTCAACTGCGCCGTTAAATCCCTTGTAGGCCACATCGCGCCATATCACCTACAGATAATAGCAGAGCTCCATCCACGGGACGAAGATATTGACAGCAGTCAGATAAACCGTCACCATATCAGACTCATTCGCAATGATAGGGTGACTTTCTAGTAGGACATCATCAAGCGCTCATTGGGGTTGTCTTTGTCTTTGCCGTAGGCTTCTGTCCTCATCGTTCTTTCCTTTCTCAGGACTGTACTTTCTCGACCGCACCAGTGCGTCCCGTTCCGCATCGCTGTCTTCGTCTACCTTCATCGTCCTGATTCCCCTCGTTTGCCCGTCCAAATCTAGAGTAGAGAATTTGTCGGTGAAGTATAATTCTTAACCATCTTCGTTAGACACATCCGATTTATCTTTCTGTCTGAAAAGTCACGCTCCATCTCCCATTGCGGTGAATGCTTCGTTCAAGCCATTAATCCAGTTCTTGTAAGAGCCATTGCTCTTTTGGATGGCTAGATCTAGGTTAAAGGTACCCATGCTCATAAAAAAAACATGTGCTTATTTTCTTCATTCGCTAATATACTGAAACAGGAGATATATAACTCTGAGGATTGGCTCGATATGCCCTTCTGTTTGCCATCATTAGGGCTAACCTATGGAGGTCGGCACGGGTCGATCCCCAAGGACGATGTGTAATTTAGTATAACATCAGCAGCAACGACAATGAGGCAAAAACAGTCGACACTCTATAGAGACATGGCGGGTCATGTGGATAATTCCATGTGTTACTACGAGGCAAGGTAGCTAAATAGAGCGATCAATAGACTCCTCTTCCCAGTCGGCTAATAGCTCGAAGCGACTTATGGTTTTCTTCTCTACCACAACCGCACGCAACCATTACACCTCTAGCCTATTCTCAATAATTGAAAAGCAACGCCAGAGTTGCGATCAAGGGCCAGTTGAACTGCGATGCGTTGTGATGCAAGGCGCCTCCTCAACTTGAGAATGACTAGGATCAACTGGCGCGAAGACCTCAGATTCATTATCGCATACGTTCCTATCACAATACCCTTCGCGACCAAAAGGCCTCTTAGAGAACCATTTTGAAAGCATTCTTTCGCTTGCGGATAAATGACTGGGAAATGTAAACCCAAGTCCAACGGGGCAATGAGCCGACAGACGCATCAACAGCTGATGAGTCCAAAAGCTAATGGTGCTGATTTAACTGAGGCTGAGATGGATGGCTGCTCGAGGGAGGGTTGCATCGTTGCATGGTCCGAATCTGAAGCAAATGAGGCTATCCAAAACCGGGCTCAATTTGCGAGCCTTGCGCCAGGAAACCCAATTATTGGTGGTTTGAATAGAATGCCGTCTTGGTATGCGGGGCAGTCACCTTCCACGACAGGGGGGTACCTGCACAACACGAGAAAAGCGGCGGGGGTGGTGATATTTATAGACCACACAGGCTATCAGCCGTCGCCCAAGGCCTCCTAGAAACCTTCTGATTGTCAGGGCTTCCTTTGAGGCTGTAGTATGCTTCGAAATCAAAGTTTGACCCCGCCTACAGTTGATGAAAGTTTATCCAAAGCATACACGGCTACGCCAGCCGAAATTATGTCTCCGTCATTGGCGGCATGTGTTTCACGCTGGCTCAATCAACATATCATTCCAAGCTGCCAAGCTTCTAGACCTTCGCGGCCTCGCACTCCGTGAAAGATTCTCTGATATGACATGCCCAACTCCAATGCGGATTGAAGGAGCGGGGTATTGTTGCTTCTGGGGTTCTTGGGAATTTCAGCTAGAACGGGCAAGCCAAACCCTAACTAGTCATCGCCCAGGAGCATCTTCTATACGAGAAATCGTGGAATCGGACTGGTCAACAGTCTTCTTGATGTAACAGTGGCTCTGGGCACACGTTTGATAGCTGATACTACTGGTGATTCTTCTAGCCGACCCTGCATGCAAGACTGCCTACCTCACTGGGCGCTCGCATTCCAGATATTAGGATATACGAACTTGAAAGGGGAACAAATAGCAATCTCGTGTTTTATGCCTCGGGTGGAATTTCCATCTCTGCGAGGATGGGTGACTTCGTATTCAATGGCATTAACCAAGACTTCAGGCACAATGGCTTACAGCCTTCTGATGATGGCTTTCCCAGGACTGCGTCAGTTGAGGTTAGCGAAGAGCTGACTGCAAACTGGATAGCACACATCCTTGAAGATGAGGGACTCACGGGGATAATGGGAAGTCTATAAATCTCGTGTTGCCCGGCGACATTGGGTGATATGGATTAAGCAGGTATACAGCATTGCCTCTTGAAGGGAGACACCATGGTTCGGTTTCTACTTGCTTTTGCCATTTTATGGCTGGTCAGCATTGTTTCTGCAGTACCAAATGATTTGATTGATCTTCAGCCTGTTCCCCGTCATCTCTGGGACACTGCTGCTTTCGCAAAGAGAGATGATGCTGCCAACGGTGTGGCTTTGCAAGATCACGGAGAATTTATGTGGGCATCCGGTAAAGGTAAATCAGACATCTACGGCTGCATGACATGGTCCATCTATGCTAATCACCAGTCTAAGATGCCAACACCATGGTCACTGCCGTCAGCATGGTTGTCTATTCCAAACAGGACGAGAAGATCCTCGATCTGGACAAGCTCGCCCTGGTCCTGGAGTCGGTCACCTGTGGCGAGAAGATGGCCCTCAAGTTCAAAAACAAACTCTTCTACGCTGCTGCCAAGATTGCTTGGGGCTGGGTCAACTTCAACGACCAGCGAAGCTTCGTCGTGGTCGCTAATTGGGAAGGATGTGGCGATCCAAAGGCGCGCAACCCGTGGGTGGTCAGCAACGCCGCGTTCAACGACAAGACGGCGACCGTCACGCTCGACTCTGTCAAAAGCAGTTGGCAGAAGATCTCCAACTCTTACACCATGGACTTTGGGGACATCATGCTTGGCGACTCCGGCAAGGACAAACGCTGGCTGGACTTCGACCTTAGCAAGGCCTTTACCGTGGACCTGAGCTCGAAGTTTCCGTCCGAGATTGCCAACTGGACCTTGAACACACCTTACGCAGACGCCCACCTCGCAATCACCTGCGACGACTGTGGCACCGAGGGCAATGTGAAGTTTACTGGCCACATCGAGGGAAGCGTATTTGGTGGCCTCGATAAGCTGGAGGTGTCAGCGACCCCGCACGGAGTCTCGGCGCATGTTGGCGTGAGTCTTGATTTCCACGGCGACGTCGACTTCGAGGGACTGCCGGCACCCGGGGATGAGTTCACTCTACTGGAGCTGCCGTTGCCTAGCGGTTGGCGTGTCCCAGGCGTACTCACGTTTGGACCGAATGTCAAGATCAATGCTGGATACACAGTCGAGAGGATCATCGGAGATGCCCATGTCAGCACTGGGATCACCGCGTCGATTCCGGATGACTCCGTTGCCAAGGTGGATCTGGCCAGCAAGAAGAAGGTTGACATCTCCGGTTGGAAGCCAAAGATTGAGGCCGATCCTCTGGAAGTGTCCGTGCAGATTGACGCCACGGCACACCTGTACACCGAGGTTGCAGTCGCCGCTAGCATCGAAGTCTTGGGTAAGGCATCGTTTCTCAACGTTCTAACGGGATAGTTAGGCTGATTCAATCGCCCATAGATGAGAATGGTGTCAATGTGGAGATTGGGATCAAAGTCCCCGATATCACTGTCACTGCGTCTGCAGGATACAGTGAGTGCTTGCAACGTCCATCAGTTGCCATGTCCCCGAGCTAACATTGTTACAGATGTCGAAGGCTTCTGCAAGGCGGAGCCAGAAAAGCCGTTCGGCGTGAAGCTCGATGCGAAGCTAGGTGCCAGCCTGGGCCTGCAGGGTTATACCGAGCTCAAAGGCGATAAGGACGTCTTCCTTGACCTTACCATCTTTGAGACTCCTGCACTGTATACCTTCCCACAGCTGTGTCTAGCTTTTGGTAAACAGTCGCCTGGGGCCTGTATTCCCGAACAACACACTTTCGATCCAATCGATTCTTACCTTCCAGGTGTAGATGACTCGGACGGTGAAGAGGCTGATGAAGAGGCTGGCGTGTCCAAGCGCTCGGTGACTTTAGTCAAACGTGACGAAAGAAGCGCAAACGACTATAGGGCTCCCTATTACTTGGACTGTGATACCGAAAAAGATTTCTCCATACGGGGTCAAAATTACCAGGGACCGAGCAAGTTGAAGCAGAAACAGTATAAGGTTCCTATCATGAAACCCGGGATGAGCTGCGCGGAGGCTGAGTCGGAGACGTGTCCCGCGAAACAATGGACTATCGACGCGCTTCCTGACGACGCGACTGATAATGACCGGGCTGTCGTGACGGATAAATGGGCATGTATGTCAATCCTACTGATGACATTTTTTAACATGAATCCGGAGTGGCTGACCATCTTTCAGCGGAGCATATATACGAGGGGAACTGGATCCGCGATTTCATCGCGGAGGTAATCAAGAGCTACCCTGAGCTGCCAGATGACGCGGACGTTCAAACAGACAGGAAAATATGCAAGGGCGCCGTCGACACCTTTGGTCGCGCATTGTCCGCCAAAATCGACACCCCGACACCAAAAGATGCGGCCAATTACTCCGAGGCGTTGATGCAGAATATCGCGACGACATTTACCAGCCGACAATTGATGGCCGTCGTTCCGCAGATCCAGAATAGCATGAAATACGACGTAAGACGGGACTTGACTCATCACGCTGACACAAGCTCAAGATCGCACTAACTGTTAATAGATGTTCCAAGGCAATAACATAATCGGGAATTTTGAGAAGAAGAATCTGAACCAGCAGGTCTGCTCGCTCTCGCGTGCTGTCACTGTCTGCATGTATATGAACCACAAGAAGATCCGGGAGCGGATGGTGAAGACAATCGACAGGATTGAAGAAGTCTTGTGCGGCTGACTCGCTCCTAAACCACAGAATATGTTCGCTAACTACTAAGCAGGAAGAAGCTGGACGACGACAAAGAGGTCTACAAGCCCGCCGATATCAAATTTGTGGAAGCGCACCAAAAGTGGTTCGAGGGAGTGTATGAGAAAGGGTTTGAAAATGCCCGAACACGGTTGGCTTCCTATGTGAAAAGCATCCCGGCGGCAGATCTTGGCAAGCTCGACCCCGACACTAGGAAAGCGGTTGAGGGTGCCGCAAGTAACTGCGAGATGGTCTGGCCGCTGAATAAAGGACTTGACCCTCCTCCGACGTGATCTACATACCTTATGCCGATGTATCTAGATGGGTCAGTTAAGGTTGAGCTTCAGTATGGGTTATATCGAGGAATGAGCACCGATACCTAGCGAGATTATCCTCAGAAACAACGCTTCTTGCCTTCTATCTTGTTTCGGTGTATAGTCCGGTGCAAACACACATAGAGCCCAACCTGGCGATACTGGAGTTCAGGAATAGGACTGCAACTAGGGACAGTAAGCCCGAAGCCTCTTTCACAGTCTACCAGCGCGAAGCTAAGTAAGCGCGTGACACCTCGCACCTTCCACATAGAGCAAGACACTGGCAAAAATGAGAATTTCTGTTCGACTTCCCGGAACGGAAGGCGCCAAACGAAGGTAGTTGCACATGGTCGGTATGGATAGAATAAGCTTGTTCTATGATATTAGGTATGTTCATTAATGTTACATTTACAGTACAAGACGGCAAGCGCCTACACCAAGGCACTGCAATACTAGCTAGACAGTCGGTCGCTTGAAAGGATGCGCTTCGGTGTTGCTAATTTGGTTAGTTAGTATGAATCCTTGTTGCATAGCGAAGGGAAACCAAGGGAGAGAGAGAGATAGAGGAGGGAGAGACATACAAGACATATTCATCCAAGCTGACTGTGTCCGGCTCCGAAAATATCAGATAGAAGTATTTGAGCGTCTCCGCCAGCCAGAAACTTTCCATGTAGTCTTGCTGGTCTGAGTGCACGTTTCGCACGTCATCAAGCACCGCGTGGCCGTACTGGGTTCGGCACATCTTGTCGATGTTCTTGAACATGCGCCATGCCGCGTCTTGCAGTGCTGGATCGCCTGTGATCCGGTACATGATGAATACGGATTCGATGGCCTCGGGTCTGGTGCGCGCGTCAGTTATGTGTATTTGCGGTCGTGTGCGAATGGGAGACATACCTTAGCTTGTATTCGCTGTCGCCGATGTTGGTCCACCCTGGTGGCAGACCCCGCTTGAGGATGTCCTTGCGCGCCTCTGCGTGAGGATCGTCCGATGTCACGCCTAGCTGGCGGTTGATGTCGTCGTACCATTTCTGCTCGTTCCAGGGGCAGTGGTCGCGGCTTTCGCAGACGCTCAGGTATAGATTCTCGGGCATGATTCCCGTGGGCATGCTGTCGTATGCCCAGATGCACCCGTCGGTGAGTTTCCGGGCAATGTCCAGTTCGTCAGGGCGGTTGAACACCTTTGCGCCGATGCCCACCATTCCGCCAATGTAGCACTTTAAGTGCTCTGCTTGGGGCACGAGGGCTTCCCGGCCTGGGGTATACGACGCGCGTATGTCGCCGGGGAACAGCACGTTCGTTCCGTCTTTCGTCATGGGCCGGAACAGGAGACGGTCGTTGATCGTCGTCATGGCGGCGTCGTACATATTGCGGTATTGGTCGGTGCGCCCCCCAAGGAGCATGTGCTCCTTGGGAAGATACTCGTATGTGGAGTCGCCCATCGCACCAACGCTATACCGGGGATCTTTATACACAAGGTCTTGGGCGTCGACCATGATCGGCCACAGGCCAGGAATGACGGTTTCTTTTTGTCCTTTTTCCAGATTATCGGTGATTCTCTGCGTGGCGTCAAAGTACTTTGGGTCGTTGGTAAGCTGCGTCATGCGGGTGAATTCCATATTGAGGGAACCCAGTTCGGCCAGCACGGTATACCGACTGGGTACAATGCCGCGTCCCTCGGCGGATCGAGTCCAGTCCCACCGGGCCTGCGGCATGCGGTTGCGCGTGTCGAAGGCGCTGTATAGGACCTCGGCGATTTCTGTTGCCTTCTTCAGCAATATCGGGTGCTTTCCTTGGGTCAGATCGTGCGCAGATAGGAGGCCCCCCAGGTATCGGATAGTGGTCTCGAACACATTGATATCCCCAGCATCGGTCACCGTAAAGTCAACCCGCTCGAGGCCTTCCAGCGCATCTTCCAGCTCATCAGTCAAGCCCATGATGACTAGCGAATCAAGCGCATCAACCAATGTGGCCGCCCACCCCGCAAAAGAGGTCCGATAAAGGCCACTCAGCGGCGACACCTCGTCTTTCAGCCACGCATTTTTTTTGTATCCTTTCCACGCGTGCTTGAAGGCATCCTTGACGGCCTCCTGACGCTTCACTCGCTTCCTGCGCGCCCACCAGGACTCCGTCTTGAAGTCATGCTGAATGCGCGGGATGGGCGACGGGGCCTCTGTGGGCATAGGAATGTACGATGTGACTGGATATTGCTCTGCATGCTTTGTCCAGCGGATCCGGTTGTCGGGACGGGCGTGAGCTGCGGGCTCTTCATACGTATCAAGAGAGCCGGAGTCGTCTGTTTCAACGTCTGCGGAGGTTTCCGCGTCAGGTGGTTGGAACGATAAGAAGGTGTATACAAGGAAAATGAGAACGAGGGTCGGGAGCACACAGCTCTTGCGAATGCAAAGCATGGTGCACAAGTGGGGTATCTTCAATTATAAGACTAGCTCCAAATCAAAGAGTGGAGTCAAAGGAAGGGATGAGCCAACGCAGCTCAAAATGTCACGGCAAAAAAGACAGCATCAAGGAACGTAAGGTCGCATGTTTGTAAAGGAAACACTTCATTTGAGAACACCGAAGATGTCAGGATACAAAGTAAACAGGGCCAGAGAAAAAGCTCCTTCTGATCAAGGGGCATACGCCATCGCACCAAAACTGTGGGGTCCCAAACAACAAACGGGCTGTACTTTAGACTCGGCGATCCATGCTGATCTAGACTCGCCATCGCTTGACTGCGCCAGTTGGTGGTGTCGAGGAATGTCGTAAGGGAACTCTAAAGGCTCCCAAGGCAATGATCAGCGGTAATTGCGCAGGAATCATCCTGCGGAGACAAAGGGGGTCGGCCAAGGACAGAGTGACCAGCAGTATGGAGATCGGAGACTTGTCAATATGAACTGTGATGGGCAGAGGACAGGGCATTGCGTAAGCTCCGTGGTCCCTGAGACCCAAGGTCCAATTGGTGTGGAGGACTGGTAGGGGCGGCTTGGAGTGGATCATTCTATTCTTACCCCATGGCTGTTTCACTTCAGCTTGGGGCGCTGAGCTTCATTTTAGCATTCGACGCCTCACGAAGTCTAGATCTGGTGGTAATTAGAGGGATCTAAAGGACCTCAGGTGAGGAATGCCAGCAATATGCAGGTATTTGGAGGATTCGTCTGATTGTTGGATGACAGAATAGATCGGGATCACATGGTCGGATGTTTGTATTGTTTGTTGTATCAGATACTGGTGCCTGGGGCAACAAGCAGCTTTCGCGGGACGGACTTGTATGACTTCAAGATAGAAATGCGACATGCCTCCATGCCACGTTATATTACCACTCTTTTGATTAACCAGTCTTGAACTGTTCATATTAGCCGCGGTGTCTACTTTTGCATTAGGTATTAACCTATACCCACAATACTACGCCTACTCTACTGAATCCCACAGAACGACTCGATGAATTAAGAGAACACCTCCCAGCTGGACCTTCAATCGCAGTCCACACATCCTTCGACCACACTCGTCCCCTCCTACCTACATCTGTCGAGCTACTCGCGATACCTTCACACCCGCCACAATGTCCACAACAGGGTAACCAAACCCCCAATCCCACCAACAAACCTCAAAAACTAACCTCAACAGGGTCTTCTTCATCCCCTCCAACCCGAACGCATCCACAGCCCTCGCAACAATCACAGAACGCCTCCACACAGCCCTCGCAGACAACCCCATCCCCATCGGCCGCTGGGCCCTCGAGCACAAGCTCATGCGCGACACCCCCTCCTGCCTCCCAGCCTCAGCATCGCAACACCGCCCCCAACACCCCCGCTACCTCCAATTCCTCTCCCTCTCCTACTCCCCGCACCACGGCTTCATCTACACCTCGCAGCCAGACGCGACCAACCCAACCAGCACAGCCAACACTCCCACCCCCACCCCCAGCGCTCCAACGCCCACTCCCACCCCTCACCCCCAACACCCGCACCACCCCGACCCAACAAAAGGCGCCCTCCTCCCCGTAATGACCACCCTCCCCCTCCCCTCGACAAGCACCCTCTTCAGCCACTTCGTCTACGCCTGCCAACCGTTCTGGTGCCACCGGCACACGGTCGCCGTCCCCGGCGGCACCGTCTACGACGTGGGCGACTTCCGCGTGCGCATCGGCGACGTGCGCCAGACGCAGCCGACGGCCCGTGTGCGCGGCACCGTCGTGGAGATCGAGTGGCGCGGGCCGTCGATCGTGTCGACTGTCGTTGCGCGGACGTCGCCATCGACCCCCGGGGGGTCCATGAAAGAAGAAGGCGCGGGGGATGGGCTGGTCACGGCGGAGGATATACAGGACAGCGATGTGGAGGCTGAGTACCGCGCCTGTGCGGCGCTGATTCGTGAGTTCTGGGCTAAGTTGGGGGTGGAGGGTGCTCGGGAGGCGATTCTTGTTCCGGGTGTTGGGACGGAGGTCGTGGGGAGGTTGCAGCGGTGGAGGAAGGGGTCGGTGGCTGTGTCTGGGGTGAGTGAGGAGGATCCGGATCCTGAGGCTGGGGTGGATGTTGCGAGGCAGTTTATGGAGATCTTCCGGTTTAATCGATGATTTTGTACGATTCTGATGATGGCGTTTCCGCGTATCTGTTTTACCTTGGCCTTACGTAGCTGTAATAGACTGGGGAGGACTGGAACTAATTGTCGGCTACGAGTAATCATTGGGACATGGGCTAAAACACGGTTCAATCGGAAATGCAGGGAGGTGGCAATATGGACATAGATAGATAAACAAACAAAACCCAGCCTGAAGACGGAGATGACGTCCACGTCATCGAGAGATGATCCAAACGAGAGATAAATTCCCTATCAGCCATTATGGGTCCCTCATCCGTCTCCAACACAAGAAGACAAGTCGCGTCCAAATGCAAGCCGTCCTGCCAAATCGCCAGCCAAAGGTAGACGAAGCGATCGAACGAGACGGTGCAAGATGAACACAGTCTTTACCCCCACTTCCACCGCTTCACTAACTTGACTGGTGCGTTTATTTTTGCATCATGAGCTGCACGAACTCGTTGTCTGCGACGCGTTAGTTTTAATGTTTTGACGCTCCTCCACGAGAACAAGAAGGGGGGAAGTACAGTCGATGCGGCCGTCGCCGTCCTGGTCGGCCTCGCGGATCATCTCGTCAACCTCGTCGTCGGTCAGCTTCTCGCCGATGGAGGTCATGACGTGGCGCAGCTCCGCGGCGGAGATGAAGCCGTTGTTGTCGCGATCGAAGACCTTGAACGCTTCCCGGATCTCCTCCTCCGAGTCGGTGTCCTTCATCTTACGAGCCATCATGGTGAGGAATTCAGGGAAATCGATGGTGCCGTTGTTGTCCGCGTCAACCTCGTTGATCATGTCCTGGAGTTCCGACTCGGAGGGGTTCTGGCCCAGCGACCGCATGACGGTGCCCAGCTCCTTGGTGGTGATTTGTCCTGCCGTACGTCAGATAAAAAGAAGTTCGCAAAGAAACGTGATCATCAGAATCGATCCACGCCGGTCGCATCGTCCAGACGGGGTACTAACCATCGCCATCCTTATCCTGTTACACGAGCAAAAGCGACCTGCGATCAGCGCCGTTCCATCTTCCGGTGCAGGACACCCCGAACGGAGGACTTACGAAGAGGGAGAAGGCCTCCTTGTACTCGGAGACTTGCTCCTCAGTGAGAGAATCGGCCTACAGAGAGCGATGTCAGCGACAGGGAATTTTGTGCAGATGGCGAGACCGATCTGCCCCGCAAAGTGGGGGGTATTTGCACGATTGGGTGGGAAGAGGGGAACATACCATGATGATAGATTAGATGGGAAAGGGGGAGGGGTTGAGGGATAAGGCGTGAGGGGAATAGGATGGGAAGGAAAATAAATAGAAGAGGGAGGACGGGAGTTGGTGAGGTTGAGTTTCAGTCGGGTAGTTTGGTGGTGAGGAGTTGGTAGTGGATGAGTAGGAGCCGCGATGGTTTAGTCTGTTATTTCGTTAGTGGGGGGGGTTAGGTCAGTCTGTGACTTTGTTAGGGGGGGGGGAGAAGAGAGGAGAAAACAGAGGGGAAAGAGGGAAAGGGGCAAAACCACAACAACGTTCCCGTCAGTCGGTTGACCACTGAGGAGGCAGCCTGATCAGGCGGTCACTCCCACCCGAAACAACGACCTGTTAAGCATCCCTCATGAAGAGACCTCGTCGTCCTTCAGCCGCACTGTACTATACGATGTAGGTACCAACCACAGTTGACTCCCAGGTTTCTTTTTTTTTTTGGACCACCCGAATGTGGATGCCTGCATGAGACAGATGATCAACGGTCACCCCATCGCTTGGACTGGTTGACTACCCAAAGGGAACCCTACAAGGCTGTATCTGCACGCGCTTGTATGCGTGGACGGATGACAGCTGACGACGCTTTATCCGGTTCTGTTGATAGGACAGGTAACCCATGGTACAGCATGTTTGTAGTCAGGAACATGACCCTTGGCATACATGTTGATAGATATACTGGGAAAATTGCATGGATTGACAGGAGTCTGTTCCATGATGCTCCGGGTGGGTTTTATTTCTCGTCCAAACAGCATGGGCCTTCATTCAATTCTCAAGTGTCTTCTTGGAATTCGTATGTCCTCATCTGGGTCTCAAAGCGCCTACCACAGTACATCTCTTCGTAATTCAGTTAGTGATGAAGAGATGATCTCGACGCTGAAGAAAACCGTCCTTCAGGTCCAGCCCATCCGGGCCGGTACCTAGACTAGTCGGCCAGTGGGGTCGATGTGGATGTGGCGCTGTATTTCAATAGTGAAATGTTTGGTCTGGACCCTAATAATATATGAGAGTGGGTGTTGAGAATAACGTGCGAGGAAGAGACAAGACAACATACATATGGACCAAGGTCCCTTCGACAGTCGATACCTAGAATGAACTGATGAGCCTGGATCAACCTGGATCAACCTGGATAAAGCCAGCATCAAACAAGATGAGTGAAGCCGTGTAAGATAACCAAACCAGTTGTGAGCTGGAAACAGTGTGGGGGAAGCCGGCAATTACAAGACTGTTACGGCCAGACCTTGGGCGGTCAACCATGCTTTACCCCGTCTGGAACCTCCTTTCACGTGGACCGAGATCCATCAAGCTTCCCGACGTGACAATAATAGTAAGGCTGCAGTACATCATTTCTTGCCAATGATATCAATTGACACTCATTGACAAGCGGCTGTACTGCATATCACTTCACCTCTCATTCTGTCTTCATTCAATTCGATCCCTGTGACCGGGTAGATCTCAACCCTGCCTTCCGATCTACCCAGCAATGATAAGGAGAGCCTAGGAACCTCCTCCGTCCGATCCCATCCGACCATCTATCCATCATGTGGAGAGATCGCACGAACCTGTACGACATTCCCCTTCTACAATTCCTATATATGGAAGAATCTAACGCAACGTGACCACAGCTATATCTCGTATCGCCAATCCTTTACACACCACCCAACCAAGAAGGTCCCATTCGGCCAATCCAGCAGCTTCTCCGATAGCACCTCCCACCCAGAAGAAAGCCGACGTCTGATCTCCGAGACAGGCGGATTCGAAGATGACGGCGACGCAATCATCGAGATGGACCTCTTGCCGCCGCGCTGGGTCGATGTGCAGGACGAAGTCACCGAGCTGCTAGCGGACATTGCGCAGAAGGCGTCCCATCTGGACAAACTGCACCAGAAGCACCTACTCCCCGGGTTTGGCGACGAGGACGCGCGCAAGCACGAAGAGAGCGCCATCGAGCAGTTCACTCAGGATATCACGACCGCTTTTCACGATTGTCAGCGCGCGGTGCAGAGGATCGAGGCTATGGTGCGCGAGGCGAAACAGCACGGCGGTGTCAGCAGCGGCGAGGAGACCATGGCCCGGAACCTGCAGATCTCACTCGCCTCGCGAGTCCAGGATGCGAGTGCACGATTCCGGAAGAAACAGAGCACATATCTAAAGAGTGAGCTATCACTATCCCGTCCACTTATCCACAGTCTGGGTTCAGCTGAACTAACACCCATTTTCTACTGCAGAACTCCGAGGCCTAGAGGGACTAGGCATACCCTCCATCGACCGCGTCCCGACCCCCGTCCACCAAAACCCCTACACCGACCCTTCCCTGATGGAATCCGACGCAGACAAATCCTTCTCCCAAACAACCCTCATGCAAACGTCCCAACGCCTGACGGGCCAAAACGACGAGGCAATCGTGCAGCGTGAGCGCGCAATCAACGACATCGCCAAGGGTATCATCGAGCTTTCCGACATCTTCCGCGAGCTGCAATCCATGGTCATCGACCAGGGGACAATGCTCGACCGGATCGACTACAACGTGGAGCGCATGGGGACGGAAGTTAAAGAGGCAGATAAGGAATTGAAAACGGTATGTTCCCCCAGTCCCCTACCATCGTGTAGAAACCACACCCACAACACCATCCACAAATAACTAACCAAGTGTACCCAACAACCAGGCAACAAACTACCAACGCCGCACCGTAAAGCGCAAAGTCCTCCTCCTTCTCACCCTCCTCGTCGTCGGCATGTTCATCCTCCTCCTCGTCAAACCGCGAGGAAGCGACTCTTCCTCTCCGCCGGAGCGGCGAAACGATCAACAGCCGTCCACCGCCGTTCCGCGGATGTCGATCTCTCGGCGCAGGAGACGGTCGCTGATGGGAACGAACACGATGCGCAAATGGATCGACCCTGATATAGATCGGTAGGCTTGTCGCTAGATAGGCTGAATAATACTGTAATGCATCTCAGTTTTCACGTATAGATGAAATTTTTACTAAAGAGATTTGTATCGCTTATATATATACCCAGTACTTCGTACAAATTCTTGTATACACATACATCAACCGTGGATTAATAGATCCGGTCTAATTTCTAGAGAGGCGGAAGATAATAAAGGGGTTAGTTTATTATAGAACATTCTCTCTCCAAACTCAAACATTAAATCAGGTTAACTAATACCCCCCTCCACCACCCTATTCCCACCGTTTCAACCGATACAAGTCTCGAAATGGGTCTCCGTAACGGTATTGCTGGCTGTCATTTAAAAGGACCAGACCCTCCAGCGACGATCATCCCCATTCTATTTTAAGCGCTACCTACCAAAAAGGAAACCCAATAATATATATCTGGCAGCTCCGCCGGTCAAACATCCGTCACACTCCGTAATAGGAGTAGACAAGACACCTGGTGTAGCTACGAACACACGGACGTTTCAATCCAGCGTAAATGTATTTTTTATCTATCAACACAAGTTATGGTAGAAGAGGAAGGAATAAATAAATAAGGGGGCAGAGAGGGTAAAAAGAGACAAGGGCGCCAGAAACCAGCGCAGGCAAGAACAAGACGGTGAAAATGGAAGGAAACTCAAAGGACCGGACTATTGGAAATACATATCTGAGCATCACCTATTTATGCACCAGGAACCATCAAAAGAAATTGTAGTGGGAAATGTTAGAAATAGTAAAGGGTGGAAAAAAAGACTTGAGAAATGCGACAATCGAGAGAGATTAATGAAGCGAAAATAAAGAAAAAATGAGAAAGGTATCAACCTCAAAATTAAACCCCACTGACTCCCGGCGCATTTTGATCCTTCTTCAAATCCATCAGCATCTCGCGGAATCGCTCCTTGCCCGAGCCGCTCGCGCCGCCGCGGCTGCCCTTGCCCGAGATGTCAACCAGCTTGGCGATGCGCTCCCAGCTGGTGCCGCCGGCGGAGGTATCTTCCCGGTTGGCGAGGAACTGCTCGGCGTCGGTGCGGGTCTGCGAGCGCAGCTTGTCGGCCTTGTTGTTGTAAGAGACGTAGAAATCGTCGATGTCCTCGTGGGCCTTCTTGACCGTCGCTTCCTTCTTCTCCTCGGAGAGCTCGACACGGCGGGCGATGTCGGCGTCGCGTCTCGCGCGCCATTCCCTGGTGCTATTAGTTCTCCGTCTGGTGCTGGACGAGGCTGTCGAAGCTTACTTCACAGGTTCGGGCTCCTCCTCGGGCTCCTGGTAGCTGGCGTAGCCGGAAGGCGGGAACGGCGCACCGGTGCCGGTGATGGTGCCGCCGGGGGCAACTTGCTGTGGTTCGTCTGTATAAGCAATTGTCACATCGTGGAGGGGATAGTCACAAGCATTGTACCTCGTTCTGTGTGTCGATGGCCGGGAACGACGACTCGAACCCGGAGACCTCCGCAGCCACGGGGCTGGCGTCCTCCGCTCCGCCCAGTAGGTTGTCATTGTCGTCCTTCACATCGGCAACGTGGTCTTGGGACGTAGCGAACTGCTCCGCATCTTCACCGAGGGCTGCCCGTTCGCGAGCGAGAAAGTCTTCGTTGTCCTCTGCGGTGTTGGTCTCGACGACTTCCGTCTGGCCTGGGATTCACGGGGTTACTGTCAGCGAGGCTGTTGGGTAGGTATGATGACGGGGGTTCATTCTGACCTGCAGAGAAGTCATCTAAGGAGGGGAAACGGTCGGCCATTGTAGTGGAAGGATGCGATTGAATGGAGATGTGGTGAGGTGGTTCTGGATATAGGAATAGGAGGGGGATCAGGGACGTCCAGCTGGCTTGTAGCGGAAGGAGGTGGCAGTAAGTGTAGAGTAAGCAACGGGGAGTTAGTTCTGCCACAGAAGGCGGTGAGCCCGAGCTTCCATTGACCGAGTTACCCCAGGAAACTGATCAACTTCACCTACAGCAATCGGCGATCTCGATACGTCTCACCTTTGATCCCATCCCCTGGGCGCGTAACTTTGGATTATATCCAGTCCTTATTTGATCTTGTAGAGATTGGGCTCATCTCCGCTTCACTATCCATTGGACACTGTCTGTCCTCCGATCCGACTCATCAGTGTCGTCCCATTGTGAAACTCAGCAATGGCGTATACGGACGACGCTGTCAAGGCAAAGCTCTCTGCGCTCAATGAGACGCAGGAGGGCATTGTTACTGTTGCGCAATGGGTTATGTTCCACAGGTTGTTCACCTTGCTACATCTGCCAGAATCGTGCTAATGGACCGCTTGATAGACGACATGCCGAACGAACCGCACAACTCTGGCTCCAGAAGCTACGCGACTCTCCGGCTCCCAAGCGACTCAACCTGATCTATCTCGCCAATGGTATTTTCTTCTAAAGTAATTGTCCGGACGAAACTAACCCAGACCAGAGGTTGCGCAGCAGTCACGGGCCCGTCGGAAGGAGGATTTCCTCATTGCCTTTTCGCCCGTAAGTACTCTCATATGGAAGAGTTGGGGCTCCGCTAATGGAGGCTAGATAATTGCGGAGGCGGTAGCGGCGGCATACAAGGGATCATCCAACGACATTCAGCAGAAAATTCGACGTGTGGTGGAAGTATGGCGACAGCGAGGCATCTTCGAGCCACCTATCCAGGAAGCAGTGGAAACGCGCATCGATGGTATGCACACCCAGCACCAATCTCTGTATCGCGGGCTTTTCTCACCCCAACAGATCTCGATAAATCTCGGTCAACTGGCAAGAAGCCGCCCCTCGGCGGCTCGCTCTTCTCCAGCCCATCCACCGGTTCCACTCCCTCCGAGCTCCAGCCTCTAGTCCCTCTCCAAGTTGCTCTGTCCAAAGCAGCCATGTCCTCCGGGGCCTCCTCCACAGCCGCCAACGCCGAGTATGAAAAGATGCATGACCGCAACACGCCCCTGCCCACACCGCCGGTGCACGCCGCGCGACTAAGCCAGCTCCTCAAGACACTCGCCAACGCAGAGAGCTCCGTCTCAGAGGTCATCAAGTCGCGCACAGCGCTAATCGAAGGCCTCGAGAAACTCCTCGAGACCAACCGCGGAGCTCTCTCCAAGGAGCAGTCGCTGGCGACGCAGCTCACAGAACGCATGGGCGAAACAGAGAGCAAGAAGCGCGAGGTCGAAGACGGCATCATGCGCGGCTTGGCCGCCCAACATCCACCCGCTATCCCCGGTGACGACGGCGCCGCTACGGATAACCTCCCCCGCCCGGAAGTGGAGGCGCTAACCCCACCCCCAGTGGAAGCCTTGACACCCGTCGGGTCACCCAAGCCCGAGGCGCAAGAAGCTACCGAACCGGGCCCGTTCAGCGGCGGGTTCACTCTATCCGGGTTCGAACACTCGGCCCCCCAGGACGTGACACTGCCTCATAATCTCCAGGAGAGTCTCAACGGGCTGCAGGCGAAGAAGCGCAAGGTCGACCACACCGAGGAGGACTACGCGCAGTTCGCTGGGGGAGATCTGGATGCTGACGTGGCTGAGTTGTTGAAGCAGGAGGGTGATGCCCAATAATAATTTCTATTGCCATGGACTCGTTGTCTAAGGATTGATGGTTATATTTATATCGTATTTGATATAGTGTTTTTACCCGAGCAATTGCATTTTATTGTAATCTAGGCTGTTTGACAAGTAATAGATTGGTAAAGATGGGCAAACATTTATAGATGGATATCAAATCGTTTATATTCCCTTCGCCTGAACTCCACAATATAGACCAGCTATATAAATCTATCATAACCATCATGCATACCCAAAACCAAAACCGAAACAAATCCCCCTCTAAAATGAGAGTAAAAAGAGAGAAAAAAAATCATGCAACCAAAAAACTCGCCAAACTACCCGCCGCCAACCCCCCAACCAACATCAAACTCATAAACCCACCCGCCGCCTCCCTCTCCCGCTCATCAACCCACACGCCAGCACCCATCATGCAGCTACTCGACAAAAAGCCATTCGTGGCGCCAAACAGCAACTGCACGATGACGAGGTAGAATGCGTCGCTGTTGAGGACAGCGCCTTGGCCGTCGACGTTGCAGAGGAGGTAGAGGGGGAGGAAGAGGATGCGGGCGAGGGCGAGGGTGAAGAGCGCGCGGGGGCGGTGCGCGAGGGTGGAGAGGGATGGGAGGAGGACGAGCATGCGGCCGGTGAGGTCGCCTGCGTTCCAGAAGAGGAAGGCGAGGGGGATGAAGATCTCGGGGCGGAGGGTGGTTGTGACGGGGAGAATGCGGGAGGTGTAGACGGGGAAGATCATGGTCACTGCGAAGCAGAGGAAGATGGAGGTGGAGAGGAGGCGGAGTTTGGTGAAAAGGGTTGTGAGGGGGATTTGGGTTTCAGTTTCGGGGGTTGTTGTGTCTGTCTCGGAGGGCAGGTCGGTGTAGTTGGGGATGGTTTGGGGTGACGGTGTGGTGTGATGGTGGAGGCGACGGCGGCGGACGAGAGAGAGGAACGAGACGAGCGCGAGCGATGAGACTGCTGTCGCTGTGAGGAAGTACCAGAATGCGGACTTGGATGCGGCGGAGCTGTTCTCTGGCGGCGGGGGCACAGGCTCGCTGTCTTGTTCGGTGGGGTCTCCGGTTTGGTTTGTGGTTCTTGGGACGGCCAGCACCGATACGATTTGTACGATGCAGGGCAGCACACCTGCGACGCCTTGGCCACCCATGATCGCCTGGGTGTACTCCTCGCGTCCGAAGCCAGCCACGTACGCAAAAACACCGTTCTGGTTGATACCGGTTGCCAGACTGGCGCCGCAGACCATGGTCATGAGGAAGGCGAAGTAGAAGCGGACGTCGGCGTCGCGGGCCACGACTGTCGAGACCGCCAACATGGTGAACACGACGACATTGATGAGGAGGGAGACGACGATGCGGCGGGGATAGGAGGCGCCGCGTTGTAGCCTGGCGAGGGTGTACGAGGAGCCCAGGTTGGTGATGGTCGAGACGGCAAGGATGGACGGCTGGTAGTTGGTTGCGGCCCAGGCATCCGCCTCAAACCGGTGATGGAAGTACGGGGACGCGGCGAGAAACATATTCCTATCGTTTGCTTTCTGTTAGACCGCGGTTTCTAGCTTTGGGCTACATGACATACCATGCCCAGAGCATAGACACTCCTAAGATGAGGAAGACGCCGTATTCGAATCGGGAGAAGCGGGGTTTGCGGCGCAAGATGGAGGGATCCTCATCGTGATCGACCGGCTCGTAGGCCGGGGGTGGATCAGACCATCTATTCAGGAGATTCATATTGACTGGACATTCAATTCAGAGCATCGCTGGAAGAAGGCCGAAGCTTGAGATGAAGTGGTTGTGGTGTTGTATCAGATCAAGTCACCTGAGTGAGTGCCAAGATAATTACGTCAGTTAGTTGATTAGTCAACTGGACTGCAGTGCACACAATTCGACACAATTTTGTGCAGACGACGGTGAGAGATAATTAAACTCATATTTACTTCTCTACCTACGGAGTAGTATATACGATATCATTGATATCTATCTGTGAAAGAACACCGCTTTGTATGAGCCTGGATTCGATGAGATACTCCCAGCACCCGTTAGGTCATCTGACAGCGGAACCACAGAAGCCCTCCAGAAGGACATAACCATGCGGTTGGAAGAATATAACCACGGATCAGTGAACCATAGCCATGGGTTGGACGGTTTGTTTATTTACGCCGAAAATTTCCTCCTCTGAGAGGATTGGAAGAAACCATGCTCGGCAAAAATAACCTCAGATACTAGAGCAAGATCACCAAAGTTGTAGGACGAATTTTATCGTCCATTACCCAGGTTTAGCCAGACCGTCCGAGAATATTATTCGATCCTCAGCAGCCCTGACATTTAGAGTATGATTGGCAGTCAATCACCCCTCTCCGGTGTGATTCGTGTCGCCCCGATCCTTACTTGAGAGGGAAATCCCACCGACCCCATCAGCGATCGTCCCAATGGCCATGATAAAAGCACGGGTGATAGGGGGTCCACTGATGGCCAGGCTGTTGATGATCAGAGGTGGGACGGGTTCCATGGACTCCATAGAAGGCAGTATTGGTAACGACATGAATAGATTGATGGAGGGGACAGTGGCAGAAATCGAATGTACGGAGTACTCTTGACCAAAGCCGTTGGATGATGACCGATGGATTGGTATTAGGGTTTTCTCGTCAGGGGTCAATGCATGGGATTCGGAGGTGGCACAATGCTGACAATGGCAGTCCAGTGGTTTAATGTGGGTGTAATTTCTCCCACTACCGACCACCATCACAACGGTCATGTCAGCATCAACAACAATAGATATTATGATTATTTACCATTTCGCTAAGGGTGTTAAAGACTCATCTTAACATGGTTGGTCGGATGGATACTTGGTGAACAGCTGTCATGCGGCCTGTAAGGTACGGGCCAAGTCTCTTGGGAGAGAAGGACCTTGGTTGGGTACGGAGGTATACATGGGATGGAAGGGTTCGTTCCTGACACCCCCGCGCATTCATTTCATCCTCCATGGACAGCTCACGTCGTGATGAGCCTAAGGGGGATGTTTACGGATGGCTATTTGGTCATCCGTGGTAGATCAATCATTGACGAACCAATTTCTCTATCCAACTGACCTATCGAGGGTTGACAACGATGTCAGGCTGACATTCCAGACATCCACATGGCCACGATCGATCTATCTTATTTCATTAGCATTCTTTCTTGATCGGTCAATCGACTGTACATCCACGACCCCTATACACGCACTAGAGAACCATACTTATCCATGCCTCTCTCTCTCAGATGGTATGAATACAGTTCTCATAGTCTTGTTGAATAAGGTCCAGGAAGTAATTAAATACTGTATTGTACCAGGGAACCGGGCAAGATCGGCCAGTCAGACAGAGTCTCGACCGCTGGGCAAAGTGGGTCTTTTGTGTAGGTTTCTCCAATCAGCACCAATAAAACACACAACTCAGGCACCGTTGCACCTCACCTCCAATCACATCCACCCCTGACTGGGCCCCCTTTTTCGCTGTAATTTCACTCCATGGATTTGTTTTTCTCTCTCCCGTGCACGATGGATCCCCTGAAGGGATTCCCTCCACTGAATCCACTCTCTCCCCCCCCCCCCCTTCCCGGGCCCTTCTTATTCAACTGTCTCCCCCATCATTCTCTCGACTTCCCTTCTTCTTCTTTCTCCTCCCTCTATCCTTCTTCTCTCCTTTCTCCAGGTTCGCATCTCACATTCTTTTAGTGTTGCGTTTCAGAGTCTCTTCCTCGACTCTAGTCATTCTTTCTCATCTTATACATCCTTGTTGCGTCCCTGGATTTGCTTTTTGTGTATTCTTTCCAGCGGCCTGATACCCGATTCTTCTTATCTTCCCTCACCCCTGCATTCTTTCATCATGCAGATCAAGAATTCCGTGCTCCTTGTGACGGCGCTGACGGCCTCCTCGGCCGCCGCCCGTCTGCACGGTCATGAGCGCCGTCACGCTCACCCCGAGCGTCGTGGTGTTGGTGACATGGTCTATGCCACCATGGGCGGCAAGGTCGTCTCCTGGATCAACGAGTGGACCGGCCATGCCACTACCTCCGCCGATGATGCCCAGGCCACCGCCTCCAGCGGTGCGACCGATGCCATCCCCAACGCCCCGGCCCAGCCCACCGATGCCCCCGCCCCCAAGTCGTCGGATGACGATGAGGACAAGGACGAGGACAAGGACGAGGACGAGGACAAGCCCTCCGCCAAGGAGCTGACCAAGGGCAGCTGCAAGGACTGGCTGTGCAGCAAGAACGCGGGCGACTACACCCGCGATGGCTTCGGTGAAGCCACCAAGAACAACGACCTGAGCTACATCTTCTACACGGGCAACGTCGGCAAGCCCTGGGGCAGCAACATCCAGGAGGTCGACAAGTCGCGCGCCTGCGAGTACGAGCACGTCGTCCGCTTCGATGGCAGCGAGAAGGACCCCTGGACCATCACCTTCTGGAACAAGATGGGTCCTGACGGAAAGCTGACCGGTTGGTTCGGCCACTCCGCCCTGACCATCCGCATCCAGCCCGGCGAGACCAAGTACGTTGCCTTCGACAGCGACTCCCAGGGTGCCTGGGGTGCCGCCAAGGGCAACACCCTCCCCGTCAACCACTGGGGCGCCTACGCCTGCACCTGGGGCGAGTTTGACTTTGGCAACAATGGCAACGAGGGCTGGGTCGGCTGGGATGTGTCCGCCATCGAGGTCATGAAGACCACCAAGGAAGTCCAGGGCATGAAGATCTGCAACCATGACGGTAAAGGCTGCTCCAGCATCTCCAACCTCGGCAAGAAGGTCGAGAACGCCTACACCGACAAGGAGGAGGGCGTCGACGGTATCGGTGGCCGCCACCCCCCTGGCCCTGCCCGTCTGTTGGTCAACATCGACTACGAATAGATTCGTCTTCCCCTCTACTCTTTCAATCTACTAGTCCATTTTCTTCTCTACTCTGCTTCGTCTTAAATCAATTGCGTTGGAGGTGCTTTATTTGTGTGCGGTAGCAACCACCGTCCGACCTGATGGAACTTTTTTTTTTTTTTTTTTTTCGTTGTACATATACCACAGTATTGTCTCTAGTTCATAAATTTGTTACGAATTATGGATCATCGTACATGACAGTACATCTCGATAAACCGATCGTGATCTTTTCCCGGGGTTGTGCTTCTAAATATAGCACGCTAATTAGGCATACGGGGCGCCACGGCGACTATTGCTTCAGACTGATCAGGTTCCAGAAGAATCAATTCCTTTCGAGGCAACCGTTCATTCTCAAAACTAAGACAGTAGACCCCAAATATAGCCATCTCGAACTCTACTTCGATACATAACACAGCCCCATTAATCCACTCTATACTTGGGCCGCGGAGAGGTGAGAGACATCGCCCGGTGGTAGACTCCGCATACGGAGTAGTTGTGCGCGGCCTGGGGCTAGAACCAGCCTGGATTATTCATTTGCACAGTCTAGGCCGATGCATTTGTTTTATCATCACCGGCTACGATCTCGACTGCCTTCAGCCAACCCGCGAACCGTCTACTTCGGAGCTATACCTGAACTAGTTGGATAGAATGGGCGTTCTCCCATACTTCTGCGTGATTTTCCATCTGCATGATACATCCACCATGTACAATGATCAAATGGCAAGCTTTCATCTGTATATAACGCTGTCCGCAAAGCTTAAGCTCTTCCAGGGTTCGCATCGCGTGTTCCTCAGTAAACATAGATGTGGCTGATACTGCGTCCACGTGGTATAATCTGAGTAATGAGGGTGTCATGCCTAGCAAGCTCACCTCGAAAAGTTTACCACGAACAACATACTCAGATACAAACACTTTTGAGTGCTGAATGACCGAACCATACAACTAGTTAACTAACTATCCAGCATAAACACGCTTATATAATCACAATCCCTTTTGTGGTTTTTCGTGGTTCAGGTACACATTACTAATCTCCATCACCAGCGATCCCACTTTCGCCTCTCCTCGCGCATCACAGCGTCACTTCTCCCCCATCCTCGATTTTCTGAACAGCATGGGCTGGGTAGGAGTAGCTGTGTTCATCGCGACCGCTTGTTATATAGCTTACCGCCACCCGACAGCCCTGCGGACTCTAACACCGGCCGTCCCTCCTGCGACCACGACCGCGGCCCAAAAGGAAGCAGAAGCTGACACCGAAGAGTCAGCGCCTGTCATAGAGAGACAGCTCTGCAAAGACGGACCTATCCCGGAGGAGGCCAGCTCAGAGGCTTCCGACTCGCAGTCCACGCCCAAGGCGTCTGCGTCTGCGTCTGCCGCCCCCGCTATCGAACCCCCGACTCTCCGCCTAGACAATGACGATAAGCCTGTTATGACCGCATCCACACAGCTACCCACCACACGATCTACTGCGGAAAGAAGCGCGAAGCCAGCATCAAACAGCATGCTTCCGCCCCCGCGACCGCTGGGCTCTTCCTTCGCCTCTCCCTCCTCATCCTCCTCCCTGAACATGCCTCCGCCCTTCGCGCCACGCCCCCGACCAACCCCCACCACCAACACCATGAACAACAACCTCCTAGTCCCAGGCCGCGCACCACCCCGCCCAAGACCAACAGCCCCAGGCAGCGGATCCACCTCCCTCCTCAGCCCGCCCCCCTCAGCAGCCTCCACCCTCCGCGGCGGCCCCGCCCCCCCAAGCAATAACAACTCCCTTTCCATTCCGCCCCAAAAAATGGTCCCCTCCCCCAACTCGCACCGCAAACGCGCCGCCCTCGAACCAGGCTTTTCCCCGCTAGACTGGGCAGCGCTCACATCCAACCCGAAGAACACCCTCCGGGGCGCCGACCTCCCCGCACACCTGATCCGCGTAACGCCATCCATGCTAAAGGCGCACACGGGCCGCAAGGGCACCGACGCGTGGACGGTCTACCAGGGCAAAGTGTACAATATCACGCCGTATGCGCCGTTTCATCCTGGTGGGAGGGGCGAGCTGTTGCGTGGGGCGGGCAAGGATAGTGCGCAGTTGTTTACGGAGGTGCATCCTTGGGTGAATTGGGATGCGATTTTGGGGGAGTGTTGTGTGGGGATTTTGGTGGGGGAGAATGAGGGGGCGGCTGATAATGGGCTTGATGATATGGATTGAGATCTTTTTTTTTTTTTGGTGAAGGGGGAAGACGGAGGGGGAGGTAATGATAGACTGTATATATAGATCGTATCTTTTGACTATACCTTGGGAAATCTAGACTTCAGTCAATATCGCATCCCGTCTTGCGGGAAAGGATCATCTATCAGGACGCACTGGTATAACCATGGACAGCTGAATCCCTCGATAATGTATGTCCGAATTCGAGCGCATCAGGATCTCTCCCCTACATTCCGTGCACTGCACGAACCGTACGTGCCACCATGCTGAGACGCAACATCTTCTAGATAGCAGCGATAGCGCGACATATTGAGTTGGAGTCTTGTGGCTGACCTACACAGCATGAACTAAAAGTTAGACATGACTACGTACATGTTATCATGAAGGCATAGAATGTGACCTTGCCAAACACAGTGCAAACCCCTCTATACCAATACTAGTCGTCTCTCCTTCAACACATTCTCTGAATCGGGTATATCCGACATTCATCCCCAGTCTAATCGATCCAACAAGATCTTCTCCGAATTGCACAGAAGGGATAGAATCGACTCCTTCGATCGACTAACTCTTTTTGATCCATTCCATATGTCTTTCACTTAGAGTGTCTAAATTGCAGTTCCTGATCTGCATTTGACTACGAAAACTGAAATAGACGTTGTCGGAAGGTACTACTAGTAAAGCTACTCTTGATATAATGGATCACCTATCTTCATTTCAAAATAAAACAAAACTGGGATGTATACCACCAGACTCCCCCTCAACCAAACAACCAACCAACCCAAACACTCACCCCCAAAGCCCTTACCCAATTAAAAGCAGCCGACAACACCACTCAATCCCATCCTGCCCGCTGACACTCTTCCCCCAAGATGCGCTTTTCGTGCAATAGTCGTCCCCCCTGCCCTTAACCTGGATACCCTGAACATCGGAACCAAGTCCAGGGGACGAGTATTGCATGCACGTTGGTCGACTCCGGCCAATGGTGGACATCGCAGAAGTTTTCGTCTCCCCTTCGGAGGTGGCGATCAGAGTGCAGTCGTTACTCTAGATGTTAGCACCTTTGCCCGTCCGGGCATGCCGTGCATACTTTTGTGGACACCGACCCCGACCCACCCGTTCTGAAAGATGGTGAGGACGCCGGATGGGAGGAGGGTGGTGATGGAGGTGAGGGTCGGTGAGGATTTCATGTTTGTGGCTTGGGGGTAGAAACGGCAGGGGAGGAAGATGGTTTGGCTGCATTGAGAAGGGAAGATGAGTTACTGTCTGCTGATGATTTCAAGAGAGTCGATGAAGAGTCTCCTTCATTCCTGTACCAGTTTGACTGCACATATTCGCAAAAAACATCTCCCTCTAATCGTCATTCCCGGGGAGAACCCGCTGGGGGGCTGGGTATCATTGTGGAGGACCACCTCTGTCCTCGCCCAAGGAGATCCTGAAGATGACAATGCTGTTAGACCCAAGCAGGGTGGGGGGTTCTTGTTACGGGGAGTTATTCAGGGTCCACGTCGAACTGTCAGATAGTCAATTCCCCAGGAATGGGGAAACAGCGCTGAGAATGGGTTTGCAGGGTGATCCTACGAATGTGGATAATCCACTGAACCGGTTGTCTTCCTCGGCTGTTTGACTAGTTCTGTTGGGTCTACTAAAAAAGAAAATGAATGATGGGGATGATATAGAACCAGCTGATTAGTGGCTAGATCATATCGACCGAAAGACACCAGCCGAAGAGAGAAACACGCATGGGTATAAAGATATCTAGATAGATCAGATCATATACATACCTACCTTAATCACACCGTCCTCTCTATCTACCCCAATATCTCACCACCACCACCACCACCACCAAGCCCTCAACCAAGCTGTCACTCAACACCTACACCCCTACCAAGACCAAGAACAAACCCCATTTAAAGCTCATCCTTCCCCACCCCCTCAATCCCCACCAACTCCGTCTCAAACACCAGCGTCGACCCCGCAGGGATAGGCCCCACCCCGCGGTCCCCGTACGCCATTGCCGGGGGAATAGTCAGCGTGCGCTTATCGCCGATACACATGTCGAGGAGACCGTTGTCCCACCTGCCACAAGAATCACATTAGCATAGCTCTACCGTTCACCCCCGCACATGTACATGTGGTGTATAACACATCCACACATATAGATAGACAAAGGAAATAGCGAGGAGGAGGAAGAGGAAGAAAGAAACCCACCCCTGAATAACATATCCCTTGCCCAACGGAAATGTGAGAGGCTTTCCACGGCTATAGCTGCTATCGAACTCGGATCCATCAGCGTACAGCGTGCCGCGGTAGTGCATGGAGACGGTGTCGCCGGCGGCCGTCTTGCGGGTGCATTCCTGCGAGTGGGTGGTGTTGATGTCGAGCTCTGTAATGGCGGGTTTAGCGTCCGAGGTGGCTTGCGCGGCGAGGGGAAGGAGGAGGGTGGTTAGGGCGGCGAGGAATTTCATTTTGATTGTCTTGTGTCTTGTGTCTTTCGTGGGAGATGGGTTGGAGGATGTCTGGGGTTGTGGAGTGGATGGATGGGTTGCGGTCGAAACGTGGGTTGGAGTGGCGGGTCGGATGCGGAGAAGACTACCTAGCTTGGTTTAGTGGGTTGGGTCTCCGCTTTTGGATGAACGAAAATACGGTTAACTACTTCCTCCTACCAGTGTCATCTACTAAACATATCGTCTATCGATTTACAGATATAAATATGGAGTCAAAGTCATAATTCATTACTTTTGGATATCTAAGCCCACTTGCCCAAAAGCGCCATCAGCAGCGCCCCCAAACACAGCAAGAAAAACGCCGCCAGCACATGGTGGATCGGCGCCTTGCGCATCGACGTGCTGAACATAAACTCGTGCGCCAACAGCTCCACCAGCGCCGTATAAATCAGAATCCCCGCCGAGATGGAATCGAACACGCCGTTGACAACCAGTGTCGTGTAGCCCTCGGGCGGGTACGACGTGCGCACCCCCAATCCAACGGCAATGGCGATGGGCGTCGACAATCCGAACGCCGCACCCAGGATGTACGGCGTCCAACGCTTCGATTGTGGCCACGGAATGGTGGCCAGACGCGATCCCAATCCGAGCCCCTCAAAGGTCTGGTGGAAGACCAGGACGATGTATAAGGTGGTGAATTCCTCGCCTGAGACGGCCAGGGTGAGCCCGATGAATACGGAGTGGAAGATGATGCCGAATTCGAGGATGAAGATGGACGTCAGCTGCGCCGCGTAGTCCTCCAGCGAGGTGTCTTTGACGCCGCCGCACTCGGGATCTTCATGCTCCCGCGAATGGCCGAGATGGTCCTCGCCGAGGATGTGGCTCTGGAGATCCTTGGGTTCATTGGAGTCGGAGTACTGCTCGCCGGAGTGATGGTCATGGTCGTCGCCGTGGGTGTGGGTGTGGGTGTGGGTGTGGGTGTGGGAGTGAGCGTGGCCGTGGTCGTGGCCGTGGCCGTGGCCGGAGCCGAAGCGCGCGTACCGCATCACCATCAACTCCACAAAGAACAGCACCGCGATCGTCATCAGGATGATACCCTCGACCCAGGAGTACTCGGTGATCGGCCCAGTCAGGCACTCGTTCTTGAGGGCTTCTTCGGCAGGAGCCAGCAAGTGGATGAAAGCCGTGGCGATGATGACTCCCGAGCCAAAGTACTTGGCGATGAAGAAGAGCCAGGAGCCGATTTTGGAGTCGCCATAGCGGCGGGCGAGAACGGGGAGCAGCGCTCCGAAGGAGGATCCGACCAAAATGACGAAAATGGAGGAGATGCGCACCCCCATGTTGCCATCATATTCATTGCCGGTCTCACAGACCGGTGCGGGGCCGGATTCCTCCTCACGTGCGAGAAGGGTGTGTAGGAGCGACATGTCTGATGTGTGTCTAACAGGCAGGAACTGCGTGATATCTGGGCTGATCCGGTATGTGTGGGTCGACGAAGGAAGACAGTGCTTAGCTGTCTGGCACGATCGAGTTGTCCAATCAATGTCCAAAAGGGAGGTCCAAATCTGCAGAATATCACGAATACGCTGATGGCAGAACGCAGAGAGGATGGGAGGAAATGTTCCCAAAAGCTTGATTTTCTGAGATTTGCTGTCGTGCAGTCTCTCAGTTATATGCTTTCTCGCTGTGTGCCCAAGCGACTGTCAGAGATTGCACTGTCCGCAAGGTCCCTCTCCACTTCACTCCACTCTTGATCACGACAAGGTTTTGGTTCCAGCGATCTCCCAAGAGACTGAGGACCTTTGGGTACAAGAGATCCGATGATGAAGGTTGAGGCAGTCGGGTCACTATTCAACAACTCCGCGAGAACCGGTCGATGTCAGTGAGCAGAAAGGAGAGTCACTAGGAAGGAGGGAGAGGAAGAAGTGACGGTGGGATAAAGTAGTCCATGATGGACAGTCCCTCAAGCGCCGGGCATGGTGGGTTGGCGTTGCGTTGGGTTGACGGACGGGGGACCTTGGGAGAAGAAGAGCATCGCTTGGCGGTGGATGGGAGTTTCTTGCCAGACGAATAACAGCTCATAGTGGCGACGTCAAGCATGGGTTCGAAGAGTTTTCTTTGCCCGTTTCGGCCGTTTCTGAGGACCTTGGGAGCCGGCCGGCCGTCATCTGCCGCGCGCTGATTGGCTGATCGGACGCATCGGTCACGTGGTGTGCCAGTGGCCGCAGTGCTATCCACAGATTATGTAATGTACATTGTGCACAGCTTGTTGCAACGTTGATGCGTCTGGTATCTGCAGCCATTGAATGATCATAGATGGTCAGTATGGATGCTTGAGGACTGTGTTGGCAATGTGGATTTAAGGCGAGACCAGAGATCAATTTGTTCGACATGATGATATGATCCATTGACGGTCACCGTATATATATAACAGCCAGACAGATCACTCACGACCAGCAACATGTTCAATAGCCAACATGTATAGCAAACACTGCTGATAGCCCTGGCCTACCAGTCTATAGTAGCAGGCAGATATGTCATCCCTCACCGCTGGCAGCCTCTCACTCTATTAAAGAATCAAGATCTCGACCACGTGGTGTGCAGGTCACTAACCCAATTGGGTCACTGACTCGGGGCACCCGCACCTCACCGACCGCATGACGGCAGCTCACCTCGTTGCCAGCTGGAGACACCCTTGCTCCTTGCTCCTTGCTCCAAGTTTGCTGGCTCTACCCTGATATATCCACCTATGCCTATTAGATACTAGATCAGCAACATCAGACACCACCACCCTAGGAGGTAATCTGTCAGCATGCCCCCCATCCGCCGATACCTCCGCATCAGCAAGTACACGGTCCTGGAATGCCGAATCTACCTCGAGAACCCCTCGGACACGCGATGGCTTCTGGACCCCCGTGATCGCATCCTCCCTCGCATCTTCGCCGCCATTCGCCCTCTCGTGCTGCCTAAGCTCCGCGAGGAAAACGAGAGACTCCTTTCGCGGAAGAAGGGCAAGCCCGTCAAGGATGTGATCGCAGAAGGTACTCCACCTGTTTGATATGCTACCCACGCCAAGGAAGAACAACGGCTCACTGATCGTTGTGGTAGATGACTTCGAAGTAGCGCTGTTTCTCCGCGAATCGCGGACCCGTCATTCCCTCTTGACCCGCCACAAGGAGTTCGACGGCCCGGATGCCGCCTCCGATTCACGACGGGCGGGAACGGTCGATGGCCACGGCGGTGCCGCCGAGTCCGGCATCATGGTTGAAAGCGACGATGAGGAACTGGATCTGAATGCTATCCCTCGCGCTACAGAGCAGATAGCCGAAGAAGAAGAAGAAGAAGAAGAAGAAGAGGAAGACGTTCGTGGGAAACGCCAACGAGGGCCCGAATTGGAGGAACCCCCCCGCTTGCGAGCGTCCAAGCGGAAGAAGAACGAGGAGGAGCCCAACGAAGATAAAAAGATGCGTTTCCAAACGAACTACGAAGGTTTTAATATCTACGGTTGGACGTTGTGTCTGCTGGTCACACGCAAAGGCGACCGGGTGTCGGCCCGACCGACGCAGTCAGAGTCCTCTCGCCAGGTTCTGATGGAGGAGTGGATTTCGACGCAGGCGCAGGCCGATTTGGATGAGGAGTGAGGTCCAAGCAGAATGGGACATGTGTTGCGACCTGCTTAATTTAAGGCTCGAAACCTTTGTGCGACCCCAAGCCAAGTCAGCTGCTGTCTTCCCGCCTCCCGTCATACAGTGCAAGACTAGGAAACTGGTTTCGTCGCAGCGGTTTTCGAAAGAACGCCGCAGCCACAAAATACAGCCCCGATCGATCACCCCCTGGACTATATCCAATAACACCGCAGTGCAACATGCGCAGCCAAAAATAGAGGGGGGAAAATCACCGCTCGGAAACACGCCACCATCGCGCCCATACGGCAAATATCCGGGCATTTCCATGCTCGTGGATGCTACACAACCGCTAACCGACGGGTCGCACCACCCACTGCAATTGCAGATGGGCTGCTGTATGACCTGGACTGATGGTTCTGTCCAGGACCGAGTCCCGTGGAGAGTTGCAGTGACTTCGAGAGGTTCTGCAAGGATGTCGATAGGCACCGACGGAGGGCCTGATCAAGGGCTAATCCAGGTACTGGAACGCGCTAGTCTGGCCTCTAGCTGTACCGCTGGTGTAATTTTTGCACCCTGTCATCTAGACGAGACAGTAACAGCTATTATCTCGGATCCCGGAACATCCGTTCTCAACTTGATACATGCCAGACGCAGTCCATCCGGGACAAACGGGACCGCAATTCGACGTTTTCTGTGTGGCGCGGAGAGCCAGTTAGACTTCCGGCTTGCTGCATAAACCATGACCCTCTATGCAAGTCATACCTGCAACCAGGGTCTGTTTCATCTTTCGGTAAACTCGGAGACCCCTCCACGACCGATTCAGGATCGGCAAACACGCTGCTTAGCCATTACAAAGAAGTCCGAGACACTCCGCGTTCTCATGTCACTTCCAGTAATTAGCCGAACGGTCGACAGTAACCATGAGTTCGATCCTCCTACCGGAGTATGTAGTCCAATCCCCTTCCGGTCGGGGTGGGGCCAACTTTCTGTTCCTGGCCTGTCGCTAGCCGTCATTACTCATCCTGCAGAATATTCCCATGCTTTGACGTCACTCTGGGTCGATTTTTTGATGTTGGCGCGGTTATGACTTTATTTCTTTTATTTTTGTTATTATTATTTTTTATTTGTAGTGGGATGAACTGCCACGGAGGAAGACCGATGAAGATGAACGACGAAACAGTGGACCATGGTTGAAGGTGAAACCAGACTACCTCATTGGGATCCACCCGACTCCCTCGCTAGCTTGGTACTGGATGGTGGACTAGCGATTGGCGAGGACGAGAGTGGTTGGTACCCTGACTTGCAGGTTTTCAACAGTCAACTCAACTGAGCAACGGACGGAGCTAAGGAGCGGTGAATCACGGACGGGTCGGTTTCTGGAAGACTCTGACCCATTCGACGGAGCGGAGTATCTGGTGATGATCATTATTCTGATGTCCCTCGGGTCGGCTAGGGAGAGGTATCCCGTCCGATCTGTGGATGCGACCCGGCGGTTTTCGCATTCGTATTCATTCCATACCACTGATGGGATCGCATGGTTTACCCAGGATGATTTGATTGAATGCATATACAAGCTCCGGACAATTTTGCCCATCTCCCGCCGCTTGTCGGTTGAAAAGTCCGTTTTTAAGCGCCAACCCCTTTCTCTCGCGCTCCATCGCGCCGGTCCGTCAACACTTAGGTAGACACCGACTTGTCCGTCTCCGCATCGAGAATCGCTCCCCCCGGCCAGCGATCCACCGGCAACCCACCGAGGAAGGACCTCTTCCAATGATCGTAGGGAACTACTCCCAACGGCGCGGAATGAACGCCCCCATCGGTGGGGATCTCATTTCCTCAACTCAACCGTGTCTTTCCTGTTTCTCTTTTCTTTCTTCTTTTCCTCTATTCCAATCATTTACCTTATTGTTATCAATTTTGAAAAAATTCCATCCATTCCAATGGCTAAACCATGCCGAGAGACCCGACCCATGTAACGTGTGCAAGTCACTCGAGATGTGGGATGATCAAGCCGACCGGTATCCTAAATCTGACAAGACGGGCCAACAGAAGATTCCAACAATGGACCTAAGATTAACTCGACGATCGGTCACGGGTAGAATAATCCATCAATGGCCGGACGGAGGAGCGGACAACCATTGTATCTCTGATATCCGGCGATACCGGTACTACCCATTACCGATTGGGTTGTACATACCTAAGGTAACTAAGTTGTGTTAGTGCTATCCCAGGGGGTATGGCGTGCTCGTACAATGAGATTACAGTATACAATACACCAACATGCCAGGTTTACACAGTTAATCAACCACCATAGGTACCAAGGTAGGTATTAATACAGGAGAATACACCATACTAGCGTGGTAAACTCTGCAGTGGTGTTCTTATCCAATATACACCATCTAATCAAATTCCAAATTCCAAATCACTCTTGCTGCAGAATCAACTGGGGCTGATAATACTTTAATTTCCTGCGCGTCGCTAGTGTCGCCCAGTGGCGAATCTCATCATGGAGGGGGGGAGGAGAAGAATTATGCGTGTGTAATACTGGATGTGTGCGACTGTGCGTGCACTGATGGATCATCAGCTTGGTATGATGAGCTGATGCGATGGGTTTGGTTTTTGAGTTGACTGACGTGCAGGAGATCTTTTTGTTGGTCGTTAATTCAAGCCCATGATACCTTTCTTCATCCTGGTTTGTTTTTAGGTAACTGTCGCTATATTTATGACTTTGGGTGTTGTACGTGTCTTATTCTCATTTCCTTTTTTTAATTTATTTATGTTTATGTTTATATTTATTTTTGGTCTCAATGTGTAGTAATGCAGAGAAGATACCGGGTAGGGGGACCGACCTGTAAGACATTGTAGTATCTGGTAGATACATTTGTATATTATAGATTGATTGATTAATCTAATGAGGTGTGTCTTTCTACTCCAGGACCGTACCTTTTCATTCATTTCTAAAATTCTAATCTATAGATGCATAGTATTTTGTAAACCCTGACTTCTAGCCAGGTACCTGGAAGTCACCCGACCATCATTAGTTACTGTTGACTAACTAAATCCCCTCGTTTTTCCTTTTGATCCCAGCCTGATTACACCAAATCCGGAGCATGATCGTAGCGGTCTGACCACCATCAACGATTGGGAGAAATAAAGCACTTGAACCATCCCCGACCAATACCAGCTGAACTAAAGGCATGGGATGCAAGTGTCTGATCTGTCATGATCACCTGCAAGGAGCGCTCGGAATCTTGTTGGGCGGAACCAATCACCGAGACGACCCTCAGCCCCTGAATATCCCGTTCCTGTTGAGTCCCCCATATTCCATCATCCATCTCTCCTGGAGACCAGACCAACAATCAGAAACCTAGTGTCTAGGTGAAACGACCTGTCACGGTCACCTTGCCACTGCCCCCCTCTCTTCCTTACCCCCTGGGGAGCCCGACATTGTGGCTACGGCAGGACCACCAACACTTGTCCAACGCCCTTTTTCACCATAGCTATTTATTTTAGTAACGAAGTATTTTTGATTTCCGAAAGCAAGACGAACTCGAAACATAAGAATGTGATCCTGGAAAATCACTACTTTCAGGCAGCCAATGATGGGGGACCGTGCGGTATGATATCCCAACCCCCCCAAAGCTCTCTCAACTCTCAAGGCTGCGACGATGGAATTTCGATCATCGCTCAGGATTCCTTCCCTCCCCACACCTCCCCTTCCTCCACATCTTCTTTATCTCTTTCTCGTTCGCTCTGCTTGCACATACGTAGGGACTACGTCGAATGCGTTTCATCTCCTTGTCCTTTCGAAGATCGCCTCCTCCCTAATCCTTCAGGATCTACAAACGGGCACGTGTTGGAAACTTTAGCCATGGAAGCGATGAGCAGCTAGCTGGTTACCATACAGCAAGGTTGATTGAGTCATCTATCCCGGTGTGATATTCCTCCGTATTATTAAGATGATTAGCATCCATCGCCCTTGTCGAACCCATCGGATTGCATGGCGTCGCATCGCATCGCATCGCTTTGCATTCCTTATTAACTATCTTGTCACCCTCCATTAGCTAACTCGACCCCGTGATGTAATACGCTTTGTGTAATTATGTAGCCTGATCATGACTCGAGCATAATTTTGTTCAGAGTAATATTACCATTTGGAACGTTCAATAAACCAAAAACCAGAACAAAAGCATAAAGAATAAAAAACATGGAAGCAGGAAAAGAAAGGACCAAAGTCCAACCATGACCATGACCATGACATAAAATAACGATATAGTGGGGCCTTTCCGTTCCGATTATCTGACCTTTTTCTTCTGTCCTTCTCCTTTCTTCCACCCCCCCTTACACTCCGCTGAGAAAGAACTGTGTGGAGTCCAAGTCATGTAATTTAATTTTGACACACTGCCACTAGGCGGTAATTACCGTCCAGGTCGAACAGAACGAACGGAACGGGATCAGGAACCAAGTGTCCTCCCCGGCCATCATTCAACGTTTCTCTCTTCCCCTCTTCAAGTGTATCCTAACTACACTTTTTTATTATTATTGAATGATAATTATCCGGTGGTGCACATAGAGTGCTCCAGGTCACACAGAGCATTTATCTCCTTGGAATATCGGGTTATTCATACCATCCTCTGGGAGTGGAATGTGACGAAGATGGAGGGTGAGCAATACGGTGCCTGGTAACATTCGGTAACATTCTAGAAAATTTCCCTGGGATTGCCGATTGAGGTCACTTACTCCACTCGACTGACGTCGTTTCGTTCGTTTTCTGTTGTTCCCTCCCGTCTGGTGTGGAGCTCAGCTTGCCGCAGGGGGGGGGGGATTATGGAGTGATCATTTAATTAGTAGTATTATTATTTTTTTGTTGGTTTTATTATCATTACATTATTATTTTCTTACCTGCTTTGATTTTTGATTTTTGAATTTATTGTTTTTATTTTTTTTGGTCTCTTCCTTTTTCCCTTTTCTAGTTTGATTTTTGAATTTATTGTTTTTATTTTTTTTGGTCTCTTCCTTTTTCCCTTTTCTAGTTTGATTTTTGATTTTATTTTTTTGATTTCAATTTTTGATTGATTTTGATTTTTCGATTGAGGAACCGAACAATTATATATTAAGCTGGTTGTCCTCGTCCATCATTGATCCTTCTCTCTACCTCTACACTTCCAAAGACAGACGAAGCACACACACACCACTATCAAAGGTATCTATCTATCTACATCGAACCAACAGCCAATACCAATCCAACAACCAACCACCACAAACAACAAACACCACCAATCTACACCACCCACAATCAACATGCCTTCCGTCGGCGGTTCTGCTTCCCAATTCCCTCCCTGCCCGGGTCCTCCTCCCAAGGGCCCTCTGCCTCCTCTCCCCAAGTAACTGGACAAACAACTTATTGAGACGAACGACACCTGATGACCGGCGCACCAAACAAACGGAGTTGCATTCTTCAGCATGGATATCACGACCTGCAGCCACACAACCATTCGTTATTTACTTTCTTAATCCTCGTTGGAATTTCCTCCTTCCGCGATCTACACTCCACCTTTTAGTCGACGCTTTCGCATACCTGCATAACCTCCATTCGCTCCATTTCGGATCTCGTTTTACCTCCGGGGCGATGGATTCCACATGATTATCTTTTTTTATTATTTATTTTTCTTCTACCGATTTTATTACCACACCTTTCGAATCACTTTCGAATCACCAGCGCAGGGCGCTCCTCATTTTCTTTACCCCTCGTTTTCACCCCCGCACCAAGGAAACCGTCATGGCAATCCGGGCGCAACACATGCGACATGGCGACGTCAAGTGTTTCGAACGAAAAGCGGGGGCAGAGTCAAGTCACCAAAGCGGAGGCGATAAACATGCAAGAGACCGAGAGATAAAACCGACGACGATACTATGATCTCACCCCTCCATCGAACCGTCGCATCCGATTTCCTGTTTTTATTTATCCTAATTATCTTTCTTTTTTTATTCTTGTTTTCATCTTGATTGGCCACCCCCTGGTTTTCCAGGCCTCTCTCTTGCAATTGCATCAGCTCAACCCCGACTCAGCTCATCATCTCGGACGTCGGCCGTTTCGCAACCAACCAACCAGATTCCGACGCAGCCGCATCCCCGCAGGCAAGATGACGCACAGCTGCGCAATGATCCATTGCACCGGGGCGCTGTCCTCACAAGCTCCCTTTTCTCACCCACCCAGTGGAGTTCGTCATCCCACGCCCTGTGTGGGATGACTGATGATGACCCGGGCTCGGGATTTGACACATGGCACATGGCACATGGCACGGCCTTGTTTGGTGCCTTCCTTGCCCTGGCCCTTCCTTGCGCCTTGGCCCGCTCCGCAGGCAGTGCATGGCCTGGCCTGGCCCGGCAAGGCTGGATGGATGGAAGGAAGGAAGAAGTAGGCAACCAGCTTTTGACTCATCCATTCGTCCATGATGACGATGTTGGATGGGCTGAGCCTTGCTTCTCTCTTCCTTCTTTTTCTCTATTGTCTGCTTGGGCGAATTGGAAAAAGACGACAAAACTTATTTAATCACCTATCTTTCGTTTCGGTGGCTTTTCATTTTCCTTTCTTTATCATACACGGGACGCTTTGTGTTTTTGATTTGTTTTGATTCGCTTTTTCTTCCTTTGTCTGGGCTTTTTTGATGTTTTTTTTTTCTTTTTGTTATCTGAAGCAACGGCATGTATAATAGACTTAATATACCCAACACGCACGCATCTCATTCTGTCAGTGTTATCTGCAGAATATATCTAATTTTTATTTCCATTCATCTATCCATGATTATATCTCAATTATTATATTTAATTATTCAAATATATAAATGTATATACCCCAACACTATACCCAGAACAAAGGGATAGATCTCAAACCTCCATTTTTAAATCCCTCCCGACACAGCCGCGATTCTCCATGTAAGAATGGGATGATGTTTCACGAGCGCATGGCCAGGGCACCACCTCCACCACCACCACCGTTGCAGTAACAGTACCCAACAGTAATAGTAACGGGCCTGATTGAGCCCACTAGGGCCGGGGTTAGTGAGTCGATAGTGCGGGCCATAATCCCTGTCCTGTGGTGACGGTAGGACCATGATTCGAGGCGGATTATTCTACCGTGACATACTATCCTTCAGCCTTGGATTTAGTTCTCGTTCTTTTTTCGTGTTTCCGCCCCTTATCTCTGGCTGAGGTTGATGTTGGGACTTTTGATTTTTGCTTATTTGGGGGGGCTTTTTTTGGGTAGGGGTGTTATTTTTATCCTGTCTATTGAGTTTGAGGCTCGTTAGTTGCTTGGGGGTTGGAATCCTGCTCGTTTGTGGCGCTGATACGAGATGCGATTCGGGTTGGTGTTGATCGGCGATTTTCGGCAGATAGTTTGCGTGCTGGATTTATAGTTTATGGATATAGATGATGGTGTGAACTATAGACTTTGGGAAAGTGTATATTCTGTTGAGGATCCAGTTTGGATTGGCTTAAGGGTTGAATAGGCGATAAGCACAAGAAATCACTCACTATCTAGAGCCAGCAGCAAGGAGACGAGTGGGGTTGGCTCTTCCATGTTTTGGGTGATTGTTCCGAGGCTGAATGGCTCACCCCTCGGGATTCTGTCGGTCTTCTGCCGGTGCTGCTATTGCTGTGCATTTATTTGTTGGAAATAGAGCTGGACTGGGATGATGGGTGATGCAAACGTGATCAGTACGAGGTATGTACCTTGTCTACTTACAGTTAGACACGGGCCAACCGTGGCCAGCAAGTATACGACTTAGGGTACAGAGCTACAAACTACAACTACAGACTACAAACTGCAGACCGAAGACGAGATCCGATCATCGACGAGGACCAGGACCAGGGCAAGTGTCCGATCGCGGGTCAACTGACCACGGGGTGTTTCACTTTGACAATGCTGCTAATTCAGACTAGGCTAGAGGTGCGTCCGGTGGTGCTATATTACCATCGTTATTAATGTCGTGTACCCTGCCGGGAGTGCGAGTCATCCGTCCGGTAGGACCACTCGGCCACCATTACACCCGGGAAACGTCAGGATAATCGTCCTCCCATTGATGGGAGAGAGTCGGCTGCAGATTCCTATCAGATAAGAGAATGCCACCTTCCTGTGATAGGAATGTCACGAGGGATTGCAACGTTTAAGCACGTCGCTTTCGGCCAATCCGGCCGGCGCCATGCTGCAGTCGAGAATGCAGGCGTCCGGGATCTTTTGCCTGAATACATGCGGCTCATGATCGACCCCGTGTCAGATTGAGTGGCCGGTGCTGTCTGTTCTGTGGAGGGGAATGGCACATTAACGCTTCATGGCTTTCAGTCGGATGTAGACGGCATCCACTTCGGCATCTGGGGGGTGAGACATTTTGTATTATCTCCTATGCAAGGCATTGAAACGACGTGGATGGGGCGCCTGTTCTGTTGCATTGCAGCTGTTTGTTCAAGTAGATACCCAATTCATCACGGAGGATCAGGGTTGTAACTCCGAGAGTATCAAGTTTCTGGATAAATTGCTTGCCCGCGTGGGGAAGGATGAGGCAGCGGCGGGATGCTGCCTCAGGCTTCCTCAGGCACCCGACACTTCCCGCTGCACCCCTCCACGTGATCCTCCACCACAACACCACCATATCGCATCGTCACTCCCTCCGCCTACCCCCCAAAGTCTAAAGCATCATGGTCCTCGAACTACACGTCTGGGGCCCGGCCTTTTCCCTGCCGTCAATTGACCCGCAATGTCTCGCTGCCATCGCCTACTTCTCCCTAGCCGTCCCCAAGGACGCCTGGGTGCTGGTCGCCAGCAGTGATCCTTCCGTCTCGCCGACTAGTACGTTGTGATCTCCTCCCCTCCCCCTGCACGCCATCGCGGTTTATTTCCCCGTCTGTAAAATTATTAGCGCACTCGGCTGACGGATTCCCCCCCGCGCCACACAGATGAATTACCCGCGCTGAAGAACGGCCCGACTTGGGTCAGCCAATTCCGCAATATTGTGGACTACCTCCGGCAGTACTCGGACGGCGCATGGGACCTGGACTCAAACCTGAACGCGCTGGAGACGGCCGATAACACGGCGTATGTTCCTATCTCCGTTCCCAATATAGCATACAAAACATCATTTTTGCAAATACGAAGAAACCTTGAAGGATTCACAACCCATATACACAAAACGCGTTACCTAACCTGAAACCAGATTCTCCTCGTTTCTTGAATCCCGCGCCCAACCCCTCATCGACCTCTCCCTCTACGTATCCAGTCAGAACTACTGGCAGTGCACCTCCCCCGCCTACGGCGATCTTCTCCAATGGCCCAACCAGTGGCTGCTCCCCCCACGCATCCACTCCGCCGCAAAGGCCCGCACCGCCCACCTGGGCCTCTCCGCTCTGGACCTGGACGCCATGGAGGATCAGCGCAAACGTGACCACTCGGCCGCCGTCGCGGCGGGGAAGATCCCCGCAAACTTTATCCAGCGTCCGCGTGATACCGTCTCGAAGCTGCTGGGCCGCACGTCGCACCAGAGCCAGTTCCGGCTCGAGGCGCTAACAGGCGAGCTGTTTGAGCCCCTGGAGGCCATGCTGGGTGGGAAGGACTACCTCTTGACAGGTGACCGGCCCACCAGCTTGGATTGCTTGGCCACGGGATACCTGGCGCTGGCGCTGGTGCCGGAGCTAACATTCCCCTGGCTGCGCGACGCCATGAAGAGCAAGGCCCATGGCCTGACAGCGTATACCCAGCGCATGCGCCACAAGTGCTACGGTACGGCGGCGGTCAAGGTCGCCGACGCGTACCCGTCTCTGTCGCCGTCGCCGTCGCCGTCGCACCTACCGTGGCAGACTCCCGAGCGCGCCCGTTTAGCAACCGTGGGCTACACCCTTCTCAACTCTCTCGCCGACAACACCCCCATCCTGAGCTCCATCCGCGCGCAGAACCGGCTGCGCCAGGCCGTCGAGTCGTCCAAGGCCGACCTGTCTGACGTGGAGCGCGAAGCTTTATCCAAGCATGCTACGGGAATGAAGAAGGACGTGCTAGTATCGGTGGCGGCTGCCGTCGGTGGCGTGGCAGCGCTACTCGGATACATGGTGCAGACGGGGTTCTTCTCGTCCGAGGGCGAGGAGGAGTACATGGAAGAAGAAGAGTATGAGGAGGAACCGCTTGAGATTGAGGTGGGGGAGGCGCCGGACGCGTTTGGGGTGATGGGATTGTAAAAGATGGATTTGGATGTATAACATGTACTCTGTATGCCTATTGTTGTTTTTGAAGCCGGGTATGGGGGTTATGGGTTATTGCGGGGCGATACACTCCTAGTCTTGTTGATGTCGAAGCCTCTAGGCTGTTGATCTGTATTCACTGCACGTGGTTTGCGTAGTACAAGCGAAAGTAACCAACGAGAAGTAAATCATGGTTGAGGCCATGAGAAAGCCTACCAAATGACTGTCACAGAAACCTAGTAGATAGATACCTGATAAGATAGGATCACATGACCCCGCGTCTCGGCGCGCTCCATCCGCACTATACATCGCGACACCCATCACCACTCAAACTGCGATCCAAACACCATGGATCCAGATGGAGCCGCCATCCTATCTGGCCTCAACACCGCCCAGGCGACAGCGGTCTCCTCGCCCGCCGCCATCCTCCAAGTTTTGGCGCCCCCAGGCTCCGGCAAGACCAAGACGCTGACCGCGCGCGTGGCGTACCTGCTCGCGCACCACGGCTACCGCCCACAGGATGTCATCTGCTGCACGTTCACCATCAAGGCGAGTCGCGAGATGCGCGAGCGCCTGGCGCGGCTGGTGGGCGAGCGCACGCAGTCCCGTCTCGTGCTGGGCACGTTTCACTCTATCTGTCGGCGGTATCTAGTGAGCTACGGATATCTGATTGGGGTGTCGAAGGGGTTTGGGATTGCGGATTCGGGGGATAGTTCGGGGATTATCAAGGTATATTTCATCTTACAAGTTCTTATCCGAGTTGGAGGGGAATAATTGTTAATTTCGTACTTCCTGGATAGAGGATTCTTAAACGCCTCCATTCCGCTATGCAGCCCAACGCCGTCCGCTCCCGCATCTCCCACCATAAAGCGCGCGGCATCGGGCCGGACGAGATCGCGCCTGCGAAACAAGGCAGCGAGTCCAAGGTCCTCGAGCACCGCGAGTTCATTCAGGTTTTCCGAGAGTACCAGTCTCATCTGTCGGCATCGAACCTACTAGACTACGACGACCTGCTAGTGCGCTGCGCAGAGCTACTCCGCCGACACCCAGCGTGCGTAAGCAACGTGCAAGCCGTGCTAGTCGACGAGTTCCAAGACACGAACCACATCCAGTACGAGCTGATGAATCTGCTGGCTAGCGCGCAGCGGCGCATCACTGTCGTCGGCGACCCCGACCAGAGCATCTACGGGTTCCGATCGGCGGAGATCCTCAACCTGACGCGCATGCAGCGCCGCTACCCAGACACGGCTGTCGTACTTCTCGAAGACAACTACCGCTCGTCGGGCGCCATCCTCCGCTCCGCCCAGGACGTCATCGAGCAGGATACCTCGCGCCCGCCGAAGCCGCTGATGCCGACTCACTCTGTCGGGACGATGCCCGTGCTGCGCAAGCTGCCGACGGCTGACGCCGAGGCGCAGTGGATTGTGCTGGAGATTCGGCGGTGTGTGGCGATGAGCGGGCGGATGTTGAATTATGCGGATTTCGCGATCCTGCTGCGCTCGGCGGCGCTGTCGCAGAAGATTGAGTCTGAGATGGGGAAGCAGGGCGTGCCGTATAGGATGGTTGGGGGGTTGCGGTTTTTTGACCGCATCGAGATTAAGCTGTTGCTGGATTATCTGCGCGTTGTCAGTCAGCCTGGGAATACCGATGCCTTGCTGCGCGTGATCAATGTGCCTTCGCGGAAGATCGGGGATGAAACGATTCGGTTGTTGGTGGGGGGTGCGGAGAAGGCGAAGAAGTCGCTGTGGGAGTTTGTCAAGGACGTTGCGCAGGGTCGCCGGTCGACCGAGAAACCCTTGTCGAAGCCTGCTAATCTCGGGCTGTGTACGTTTGTCGGATTGGTCGAGTCCGCGCGGCAGAAGCTCGCTGAGTGGAATGATCGCTCGGCGCCTCGCAAGCTGCTGGATTTTGTGATGAAGAAGATCTCCTTCCGGGAGTATCTGGCCGCGACACATGGCGCCAACGAGGAAAACCGCTGGGCAAACGTGGAGGAGCTTCTGGGTCAGGCTGATGACTCGGCGGCTGCAACACAGGATGACTCCGACGCGGACGACAGTCTCCCGGAGATTGACGGCGTTGCGCAGCAGAAGGCCCACGCCGGCGAGGAGGCCCTGTCCCGTTTTTTGGCGAACGTGGCGCTGTCCACCGAGGTGCTTCCGCAGGAGGGTGCCGAAGGAGAGGATGAGAAGCAGTCGCATGAAAAAGTGACCATCTCGACCATCCACGCCGCCAAGGGCCTAGAATGGCCGGTGGTGTTCGTCCCAGCCGTGTACAACGGCATCATCCCGCACTCACGGGCCGAAGACTCGGACGAGGAGCGACGACTCCTCTACGTGGCCATGACGCGTGCGCAGGCCCTCCTCTACCTCAGCTACCCGCTGGAGCAAGCGCGGACGGGCGAGGAGACGAGTCTCACGAGTTTCCTCCCCGAGCACATCGTCCACTCTCGTTTCCGTGTCGTGGGCCCCAACCTTCTTGAACGGCACGTATACGGCATAGCAGATATTCTACGCCGGCCGCGACCGTCTGCAGATGCCATCAGCGCCGGCCAGGTGTCGCTGCCGTCGACGCAAGACGACCAGTGGACAGCAGACGGCCACGCCATCCCCGACGCGGCGATCCGATGGGACGGGTCGCGTGCCCCAGGAGGCGAGCCGTACCCTAAACGCGCCAGACACGGAGGACAACCGACAACCACGATGGTGACAGGCACCACGATGAGCGGCTCCTCCACCTTTTCTGCACCGCAAACAACCATGTCCATGGGCTTCTCCACAGCCCGGCAGTACATCGCATCGGCTCCTGATCCGACGCCGGACACCACCACCACCAACGACAGCACCAAACCCAAATCGAACGCCAAACCTGGTCTCTCACAAGGCAGCATCGCGCAGTTCTTCGGGCAGCGCCCGTCGAAACCCAGTCAAAGTGGCGTCTCCCATGCATCTACCACTACCTCCCAAACACCACCCACCCAACCTCCACAACCATCAAAAACCCGCATCATAACCACCAACAACAATCCCCTCCCTCCCACCCCCTCCATCAACCACCGCACACAAGCATCACGTCTGCACCGCCCAGCCCTCGAACCGTCCGACCCCAACCGCTACACGTGGCTCACCCCGCCGACAAACCCATCTGCACCTAAACCGCCAACGCGCGACAGCAGCAGAAACACCACCACCACCGCCGCCGCCATCAATAATCCCACAAATAGTGTCAACCCCAGAAATACCACCAGCGGAGCATCACCCCCGAGTGCCACTGTCAAAACGGCCCCGACTCCCGGAGCGGGGGAGACAGGCGGCATGCGTCCGGTTGCCACGTACCACACGACGACGATGTCGACGGCGCCGCGGCGTACGCTGGGCATTCGGCGGAGTATGAATGGGTGGGCGGATCGGATGAAGAGGGGATGATTGGTTTGGTGGATTTAGAGTGAACTATCAGCCATTTATTATTGTTATTATTATTATAGGAGGCAATGTTGCTGGACGGGCTGTCTGCGTTGCGGTGCTGGCGGTGTTTTATTCGTGGGGGCGTGGGCTTGACTAATTATATCATACTACAGTATACACGGGAAATATGTTAATTAACCTACGGATAGTTGAACATGTGTTTGTAGATGTATCCCATGAATGATATACCTCGCTGGGCAATAAGTCTCCATTAGTTGATTTATTCCCACTCTCTAGGTTTACTGCTGAGACTAATACCCCATGCCACGTTGAAAACATTCCGTATTATCTACGCGAGAATAAACTGTCGCTAGTCTAGCAACATAATAAGTATGTGCGTGAAGTATGTACCGTCCCATCTTTATAGGTTTACTTAGACTACCGTAGGAGTATACAGCCAGTGTTAATCGCATTTCTTATAATACTAAGCAGATGCAATATCACCACTTTGGTACTAGAAGACTTCAAATATATATAATCAATACATGCAGGGTCTTCCTCATTATTACTCTTCACGATCATCCAGACCATAACCACGTTTTGACCAACACATCATATAACTATACACACGGAATCATCCTCCGCAGGACACTACAGGTGTACTCATACACCGGATGAGACGGGCGGACGGACGGACGGCAGACACTACTACTACCACCGCTCACGCAAGAGTCCCAAAACAAGCCAAGCATGAACTAAGCCCATACGTACAGAGCAGGAAGGGCACCCCCCTGAACCTAATCCCAACAACCCCGGAAACGGCGCATGCAGCACTGGTCATGCTTACGACTATTTGGTTAGTTTATAGGTGTGGAGTGTGTAGGGACTAGTGGTGTTTATGTATCTATTCTGTGGATAGATGGGGGTCTTGCGACTATCTACGGATACGGATACTCCTTACTAGCATGCCCCAGCATCATCTATTGCAGATATGGGATATGGATTAGAAGGATAGGATGTCTGTGGAATCAGTACATGCTGTCGACCTTCAAAAGGGAGGAGGTATGGCATGATACCAACAACCCAAGCTTGGGTGGTACAGCTGTCTGTCTGGTACGTCAGGCATCTATCGACGACTCTGGCGGTCTACAGCTCTCCGTCCAGTTTAGTGCTGTCCATAGTGTCGCGTAGTATGAGCTCGTACTCGCTGTCAGCGGGAAGGCGGCAGACCAGACGGGATGCCTCAGGAGAGGAGTCAAGTTTGTCCTGTTTGTTCTGTGTATATCCCATCTGCCAATATTAAGGAGGAGCGGTGAGCGGTGCAGCATCACTTAGAGCGGTGGGTATGATTGGACGGATGGGTCACCTGACAGCGCTGCCTCCGGTTAACCTGAGGCAGTTTAGCAGCTACTGCCTATAGTAGAGCGTAACTGGATCGGGCTGGTCATTCATGGATGGATCCAGGATGATTCAGTTGGGAAGCTTGGGAGGTTAGGCTAGTTCCTGACCTATGCCTGATTCGAGTGGAATCCGTTCCTGAAATTGCTGGGGCTAGGACACGGCCTAACTGCATCGAGTGTCCGTGTGATCCGGTGGACCTGATCTCCATCGATTCCCAATGGGGTAGGGGGACATCGTACGTGTTCTATCGTCGCTTTCCCGTGAGTCGAAGATAGGTAGAGTCGTGATGGAGTCGTACAATGGCATTGCACGGCTGACGTGCGAATGAAGGGGAGATGGCAGGCCAGATCTCTATACCCAATTGAGTTGGCAGCATGATCAACACAGGGACAGCCTGTCCCTGCCTGGTACGGAGGTATTGGACTGTACGTGAGTCACTATCTGTAGGGTAAGATTGGCTTCTCTATGGGTCATGTTATAACTGGTATCTCTGACCATACCGCTATTTCTTTCCCGATCCCTTCTCCTGTGTTTTGGAAGAGATGATGTGTTCTGTACGGTATCAGGTACCACACCGCCCTCTTCTGGGCCTTCCTGGGCCACGTCTCCGCCTTCAACCGCCACATCAGCCATCCGCATTGGGAAAGGCGTAAACAGCCTCATCAGGCGACCGTGTGGCTGGTGTCAACTGGCCAGCCTATCAATGGCCAGCATGACTTGGGTATTTTCTCTCTGTTTTCGCCGTGATAGGGCCTGGACAGGGCATTGCCTCGACTGGGGTGACCGTTTGATTTGATACTGCTATCAATCTTGTGCCCTTCAAATCATAAAGAAGATAGATGATGTTATTCAGGATCTGAATTGTCCTTCGTCCTCGCCTGACCAGGTCTTGCCTGCCCCTGGCAAAGCGGTGGAGCACCCGCCCTAGTTGGCTATGGAGCTATGGAGCAATGGAGAAAGCGGATGGGTTCCCATTTCCTTGAGAGATTTTTGTGATTGATTGCATTTATTCATTGTCTCTGGGTCTGGACCATGTCTTTCCCCCATGACGTCGGTGAATATCTTCTATTCTAGGTATCTTCCCCCGGAATGGGGGGGAATTGGGGCGAGGTGACTGGGGAACGACCCTTCTGCAGGATCACCGATCTCGATTGGCCCTAAGGAGCAGCCGTAATAGTTAGTAGTAGGGGGAGATGCCTACGACAGGTATGGACTTGTAGCTACCGACAATTGGGTGATGCTCGTCTTGTTCTATTTTGGATTGGATCTTCCACCGTCAACCTAATTCCCATTCCCACTTCCGGGGTTATTATACCATTCCTCTTTCATCTAGATACCGACTTGTTTGTAGCTCTGTGAGTCGACATACAAAAGGGCTCCCTTTCGCTTCTTGCCTCCCGGTTCGATTCTTCCATTTTGTCTTCTATCTTCTATCTTCTACTTCTATAAATCTACTCTCCCCACCCTTCCCTATCTGGTCTTGTCCTGAAGACTTCCTCTTCTCCTCTACTACTACTGCTAAGGTTGCCTTGCTCCGCCACCATTCACCTATCCATATAACCAACCCTCCTCTGCCCTCAACCATCCCACATCTACATCCACATCACATCAACCATCCACCATGCCAAACAAAGCCAACGAGTCCAATTCCACTCTGGGAAGTACCGGTAGTGGTGATCGGGTCGTTGTGACCGACCTTCGAGGTGAGTGAGATCCTCCCCGAATTAACGAGAAGACCCATCGTCTATCTCTACTAGAGTCCACTCCCCAACTAACCACCAAAACTAGGGTCCAATGGCGCCCGTCGCTCGCAACCCCCCGTCGTCGTCCACAACCAAGGGGGCCAAATCTACGATGAAACAAGACCGGCCGACTGGGACAAACAACGTTGGAAGTGATTTCTTTTCTTCCTTTCTCCTTTTTCTTTCTCTCTTCCTTTTTTCTTTTTATTTTCTCCTTTTTCATTATTGTTTGTTTCAACATGCATACCTACCCTTGAAGGGCCACCCTATACTGCTGGTCAGTTAGGGTCGAGGTCATAGTCCTGGAAGAATATCCGCGCGGCCCAAAAGTGAGGCGGTGATCGGCCGGACTCGCAACTCCGTACGACTGGCTCGACCGGTTGCCGACGGATCTGCTCTAATCCTCTTCTTATTTCGTTCTTGTTGTTATTATTATTCAGGTACTATTATGGGCTTATTGGTGTTATTATGGTCGGATGGGTTGACGGAGTTCACCGCAATCTGGATTTCTGCCTGAGGCAGCAGATTGGTTCTATGGTCTTTGTATATTAACTGTTTCTTTATTTTCCCTTTCTTTTGTTTTGTCTTTGGTTTCGTCTTTGGCTTCGTCTTTTTATTGTGTTATCCCGGCATGTACTTTATGACCAGACTGTCGATTTCTTGTTCTGCTTTCTTCGCTTTCTTTCTCGCAACACGTGTTACATTCCTCACAGGACCTCTCCACGCCAGGAAGACGAACAATAGCCCGACCATCCTTGCAGCCCATCCGTTAGTGAACCTTCTGCAGCGGTCGGACGCCTTCCTGGCGATGTCGATAGCTCCCTGAGTGGACAACACAGTGTATAACCATTGAATCTTTCCTTGTCCGTCTTTGACTTTGATTCCGCATAGCGTGGGTTGGTTGGTTGACTTTACTTGACTTTGTTTCCTGTCTCACTATGTCATTGTGATTATTGTTTACTACCTTATTAAGTCCTACCAGGTGTTATTGAGGTATGGTTTGTTCAGGTTGTTTACAGGTTAATACCGACGACAGCTGCATCTGCCCCAGGCCGATCATGTCATGTCGCTCGCTGATTGGCCACCGGAGGTAGATAAATCCACGTCTCGGGAGATCATACCTATTCTCCATCCATCCGTCTCTGTTGTTGATATCCGGGGGCTCCTTGACTTGTCCGTCTACCTGTCTGCTGGCGGGCTTCCACCCGTCGTCGTCTGCCAACGCAGTCCTAATCAGTCCTACTCACCACGGTCATGGCGAGTAGGACTCTAATTTGTACGATACTATATTTCATGTCTAATATCTATTACATACTACTCAATCTGGAGCCATACCACCGATAATCTCCAAAGTCTCTAAACAATTCGCAACCATCGCACAAGTAAATCCATGTATTCAGTAGGATAATCCCTGCCAACTTGTTCTGCATAGTATACACCCGTCAATTGTCATACAACCAAACAAACAAACAACAAACAAAGAGCATTGACATCCACCTCGTCGAGCCTGGAACTAAGACTAGGAGTCAGCCAGGTTCACCCCGACTCCGAGAACCTGAAACCGTGAGAGATATCAATAGGAACGTCTCACTTTCCACCCCCACAATGCCCCTGGCGATCTATATTTAGTTTTGACGAACTTGACTATATTTGTATACGATTTTGCTTTCTTTCTTTATCTATTCATTCAGACTTCTTCCTTTTATCCTTTTGTCTGCTCAAAATAGTAAATAAAGACCATCTCTATCTATTCTTAGCATGACTCAGATCAGTAATAGAATCAGTGATGTTGGTGATGGTAATAAACAGATGGTGACTGTAAAGTGCCACGACAGCGTGGGTCTTACTAATCGGACAGCACAGCACAGCAATATGTGCCTGAGGCAGACCTGCTTTCGATCCTGTAGATACTGAATGTCACTATTGTTGGCATTTGCAGGAGTGCACCTGTCATGGGAAGGTTCTTGGAACTGGTATCGTTTGACTATTTGTCAACCTGATATATTAGAATCTTGCCTGAAGATGTTATAAATCAATTACATATATATATACACACTAATCTACCCATCGATGCTTTACTACTATCTTTATTGCTTTTGACTCTTCGTGACGTCCCGCAATGTTTACAACCTTTTCATGGCTTTATAAACTATCAATTCATCAATACTTTCGACTGTTCTTGTCGGTTCTTCCACGTATATCTACCCAACCGATCGACGCTTAGCTCTTGAGTTTGCCATCTCGTGGATGTATTCGAGAGTCTGGGACCAACAATGTCTGTGTCTATACAGGATCAATAGACAGTGGCATAGCGATACTTACGAGTGCCTGGACGAGATAAGGAACATCTGAGTAGAGCTAAGCTTTGGGTATTCTATTCATGTTACATATTAGAGTGGATTGGTTTAAATTGAATTTATCCCTTAGTCTCCTTGGATATCACAATGATGTTAAACGAGTTGATTCATTTCTCACTAACAACTACAGATCTTCAATCAACCAGAAATATATGTTGATCCGAGTACACCTCATGATACAGTCATGACGCTAAATATGGCGAAAAACTTTAAGACATGCTCATATTCTCCAGCCTGCCCTTCGAGGTAAGTTGACAGGTACATCATATCTCAAGACCGCCACGCCTAAACGTTGACCAAAATTTGGTATAGGGCTTAACCTGACTGATATACCCAACATCATATATTGAAGAACAGTGATGACATCTTCCCAAACCATCCAGAACTTACTGAGATAAGCACCAAAACATCCAGTGCCCAACAATCAACAGCCTATCAAGCCAACCAGGCTTACTCGCTAGTGCCAGCCTCTTCAGCGCACACCAAGCCAAAAGCCAAATCAACCCCTCCCCGCTCTGAATCTCCAGCTGAGCCCGACTAACTTCATTCGGAGATGGGAAAGGAATCAAGCCAAAAAAAAAAAAAAAAAAA